GTAGCGTCACGATATGTTCGCGCCGCCGTTGTATCTAATCTCCCCGCTGGAAGACATGCAATAAATACCGTAATCAGAAAAGGGGATGTTATATTTAGTGCGCCGATGCATCGGCCTATTAACGTCGTTAGTGCTATTCGGAGTCTTCGATCGAATCGAAACGGTCTTTCCACGCGACAGCAAAAAAAAAAAGAAGAGATCGCGCGGAATGCGAGGAACGGGTTTTTTCGTTCACGCGCGTTAATTGCCAATTAATTAAAATCACCGTCTGTCTCATCAGTTTCAGCAAAATATATTGTACTTCGCTATGGGGAACCAAATTCTACATAACTGTGTGCTAAAGAATTGCATTAATGTTCACTTATTTAATTCGTAAAATAATAAATTTTTTGTTATCAAGCATCGCACACGGTCGCATAAAGTAAATTTCTTTTATTTGTAAATGAATATCTCGCTTTAAATAACAGTTTTTGTCGTAACGCAACAAAAACTTTAAGTAAATATAAGTAGGTTAATGGACTAAAGGACCTATAGGTAACAAATCAACGAGAGGACGTATTGAATGTCTGTTGTATTGATTTCTGCTTTTTCACACAAAAGAAATAGCGGTCTTACGGTATTTGCTTGGTTTCGATTTCTCTCTTTTGAATAAGTTTCTGTACAAAAGTTTATAAAGTTTTATTTTTCATTTTTTTTATATACTTCTTTCGTTTCAACATATCGCCGGATCATGATACTAAATAATATAGAGCGTCTTACACTGAATTGATTTGACTGAAGACAAGAATGAAGATGAAATTGAATTTGCCGGTTTCCAGTGCGATCTTGAATTAATGATCAAACCCACACGCGCAAGCGTAATTAACAATACCTTATTACTTAGTTATTTTTTATAATATCGATACGATTAAAATTGAATATATAAAAAATGAACACTCGCGGACTTTTTGTATAGCCTACCCATATATATTCATAGTTTCTTTCCGAATTGCAGAAACTTCATAAAGATTCCATACATTAATACATTTAAAAACGACTGCATATATCTCCATACATTTTAATTAATGAAATTGCACAGAGATGCGAGAGAGAAAACGGCGTTCGATTTTTAATTGCAGCGCACGACGCCAGTGAATTTAAATTGAATTTTATTCATACGTCTTCCCCAAAGAAAGCAAAGGCTTCTCATAAAATATGCTCTTCGTCGTAGATTTTCTACTGAGTAGGAAAATTTCGAGAAGCGCGCGCGGAAAGAGCAGAAAGCAAATTGCAAGTAGCGCGAAAGGTGACAAGTTAATCAAAACTTTACCGGTTCCAATTTTTTTCTTCAAAGCATGTTTAATCAAATAATATTTCAATATACAGAATTAAACTTTCATAGTGTTGATATTTACAAACTTATATATGTGTGTACGTATATCTTACACAACAATATATTCTTCTCTTCAACCTTGTAAGGCTTATTCGACTTTGCAATATTCCGCACCTGTGTAATAAAGAAACAATAAATACTGCGCCAAAACAATTTTACTGGTAAAATTTTTTTACGCTTCTGCATCTTTCCATCGAGTCTTACCGGTTACTCTCTGTATCCAATCAACGTAAGCTCCCACACGTGTATTGATAGAAGGACTATCTCCGCCACAGCCGATACCACCACTGATAATACCTATTAGTACGAGATTCCGTGTAGTGGGATTTTGCCAGAGGATAGGTCCGCCGCTGTCCATCTGCGGCAAAGTAAGAAGAGAACGCTCGTAACTTTGACATACTTTGTGACATCACGATACTTTGTACACTTATCCTTTTGACCATTTCCAAGTTTGCTAACTTGTCAAATAAGAAACCCTATTTCTCTCTCTCTCTCTTTATACCTGACAAGCATCCTTTCCTGGTTTGTAAGTACATATGTTTTTTTCCGTCACAGTCATGTCAGGTTTATTCTTATAATACGAATAGCATTCATGCAGACTTATTACGTTTGTGTTTACTTCTTGTAACGTTGTCGCTTTGGAGTCGGCAAATCCTTCTAAACCCCAGCCTAACAATAAAAAATGAAATCAGAATAGATGTCTACAAAAGTGTAAAACTAAATCGAAATTACTAACCTAACATTGTAACAATATTACCACCGAAGGAATCGCATTGATGTTGGAACGGTAGGCAGGCCGGACCAACTTCGGCGCTGTATTCTATAATACCGATAATTTCACAAATAGCTATATCATTAGAAAATCCATTGTAGAATGGATGTTTCACGTAGTTGCTCAGGGGATACACTTTGGTCGCGTTGGTTTCTTTATCTGCAAATTTATTATAGTACGTATTTAACATATAAGAGAATTACACGGCGTGACAAATATTTAATATTGTTGCACAATTGTAGATATTTATTTTCTTTGTCAAATGTTGATTAGATCTTAACAATTACTTGTAGTTACATCGTGTTCACCGATAACAACACCGAGATCACCAATATTTTTGTTATCCACGCAATGAGCAGCCGTCAGTACGTGATGTTTATCTATTATAGTAGCACCACAGTATATGTCTTTTCTAGTTCTGTCGACCAATCCAGCCATCATGGTATATTCATTTACGCCAGTTTCGTTACCGCCCACTATCTTCGTCTGAGCAAATAAATGATATTTTATCATCGGCATTAGATAACTTCTCATTAACTTTGTTACTTATTAAAATCGCTGACAGATTCAAAATCAAAAATCTCTAAAATAAATAATACTTTATAAAAACAATATTTATCTGTTAATAAACGACGTTTTACATTTCAACTTACTGGTTTTTTCCAGCCACATGGACAATTGTATTCATCGAACGATTTCTCAGATTTAATTTCGCACAAAAAGTTACCTCCTGATGAAGTATTTGGTGAATTGAATGTTATAGTCGCGCCTATTTTTCCTTTGACCTCAAATGTGCCAAAACCACAATATTTTTGCTCTCGTGATTCAGCAAATTGGATGGAAAGACTATCAGCATTGCAATTATAACTCTATAAAATAACACGATAAATTATTCAGTTGATTTTTCTTTTATATGTTTAGATGAAAATAACTGAATTATAATAATTTTAGAGAAATAGAGAAAAAAAATCTTAGAGTAAAACTATATACGACGTATTTATACGACAAACTTACCTGTGGCATATTAAGCGTGCAATTTACTGTAATAACATCTAAACTTGTTACTTGCCATGTACAGTGATTTTCACCCTGTGAATAATTAACAGGATAGCTGGGATTGTATATATAATACGTTTGTCCAGATTCCAGATTTTGAAAGTAGAAGCAATTACCATTATCATCAGATTTAACTCCACTTAACACCGCAAAAAAGATCGGTAAGCCGAATAAAACTACCTTGACTAAAAAATAATTACAATCATGTATTACTGTTTGATAAAAATTTGTATTGATGAAAAGTGCTGTAGATGATATATGATGTGCGATTGAAAACAGCTTTTCAAACTTTACATGTTTACAAAAATCTGATTTCCCGCCTTCAATTTTCACGTGACACACTTGTGCTTGTTACGTCACATGTATTGAAATTATTATAAATAAAGAAGATTATATAATATATACACTTTACTCAGTTGGAGATGACAAATATGTATTGTTAAGTACATTGAACTCAACAAAGAGAGAGAAGATGTTTCTCAAACTTTACTCAACTGAGTAACATAGAGTTCGTTTAAACATCTGATTTTATACAAATGATTTGTTAAAATGCAAAAGTGTCTTGTCTTCACACGTAGAGACGTTAAACATTTTAACATAAAATATAATTTACTAATTATCCAGATGTATTATAATAATTTGATATTTAATGTTTTCGCGATGTTTTATAAGAATTTTTAAAGATGGTGCATTTCTGAACTGTGATTTAAACCCGAAAATCTTCAGGAATTATTATAATAATTAATCATTTTATGTATGTACATAATTCAGCCAAATATTTGAAATCGTTCATTATTCAACTATCACATGAAAGTTTAATGAACATTTAATTATTAATTGGATGTCAATTTGTCAATTGTATAATGTTATTATTAATATTTTAATTATATTATTGATATGTAAAATTTTTTCTGAAATATATATTTTACGATAACATCTTGAATTCTAAATATAAAGCAATTTGTTATCTCAATTAGTCATTATTAAATTATCAATTATCTATCTAAAACGCGATTTTATGTTTATATAATTTCTTTTAATTATGTACATTTGTATTATATATATTAAACTATCATGTGAAAATTATATACATATATATATATTTGTTCTTCTGCTAATATAAGTAATAGTTTGAATACCTGCTTCCATCTGCCAAAATAATCCGCGCTTGACGTCTTAAAAAAAGCTGCCTTACCGAAGTTGTTCTGACAAACAACCACGCTATATGGCAGAACGTCTGCTTTTATCCCNACACAAAGATAAAATAAACCCGAAACTGATAATATCTTAGATGTCTTATCTGACGGTTACAACTCGCAAGTGGATTTGCTATAGCAAATGTGGATATCTTCGAAATAGCGCAAATGTAATCCCGAGTTTCGCGAGATAAGTGCATTAAAAACATCTCAAATAAGTGATGCGATATATCAAAGACGCGCCGATGTTTAAAAGGAATATTCAAACGAGATTAAAAAAGATATTTTTTTTTTTTTATATACAGAGATATCATTAACTTAATATCATTAACTTAATGGCTGAATTGTTTTGCAGTCTTCTTATATTTTCCGGTGTATATTTAGATACATAGATAGAGAAAATGGCAAGAATCGATAAAGGAAAGAGAAAAAGAGATGCGAGAAGAAACTAAAATATTTTTACATGCGCATATTTGCTAAGTTACTTGTGAATACTTTAACAATCTATTGAATTCTGTCTCTATATATGTATATTTTTGTTATCATTTAAAAGACTTCGCAACAAGTCATAAACATCAAGTTTCCTATATATCTTTAATAGTTTCGAGGAAAACACATGTGAAGAAGTTGATATTGTACTCCATATAATAAAGTTATAGAATTATCAAACTTTACGCAGATCGTCAAAGCTCTTTATATACAATAGTGCAAACAAAAGCAGACTATGTATAACGCAACTCTTCATTATAATTGCCTCGTTAACATTAAATCTTTTAAAGAATTATAAACTTGCTTTAACTATTCTGAACACAGGTATCTCTTCTTGTTTGTTTTTTATTTTTATTTTTTTACTTTGCGAGAAAATAAAGAATACGTAAGTGTAAGAATACGCGATTGATCGATCTATCTTTTATTATTTTGAATTTTTACGTACTCTTTATTCCGTGAAACTTCTTACAAAACTTCATTGTTGGATAATTTTCCGTCAGCAGACAAGTTCTGTACTCACAACTTTCACAAACAACCGTACAAAAGTGTTTCTCTTATATATATAATATTGTACACGCAAGGCGTATTATATATATGTAAATGTCTTCCTAACAATATGCACGAAAACAATTGTTTTCCCCAGAAATCGACTGTTTTACAGTCGATTCTTTACGTGAAACGTATAGTGCTGATAACGCGCCGATAATTGCGCGTTCTCTCTCTCTCTCTGGAATTACTTTGAAAAAAAAAATCTATTCCAATTTTATTATCACATATGTATTGTATGTGCATAATATTCTAGCTAAGAAGGTAATAAATGATGATAAACACTTGTGTGTGCATGTACACACACGGTTCAAGTAAACTTGTTATAATCAAAATTTGATTAAAAAATATTATAAGAAGATAAATGTTTGAAAAATACATATATGTATATTACGTATCTCATATTTTATGTCAGAATATAAAATATAAAATAGTTCGTAAAGTGTTTACTTCTCAATTGTTTCATCTTGGTAAAAGTTTACACGTAAAATGGCAACAAAATATAAAGGTGTGTGATCGAACCTATATAGTTAACATTTCTCCATAAACATTTAGTACATACTAAGTTTATTGATTTTTTTCTAGTTGTTAATATTTTTATCTATGATTACTTTTTATTTGATATTATAGGAAATGAATTGCAAGTTTAGTAGATTAATGTAGTAAATTAATTTGCATTTTTTATGGCACCATTACTTTTAGTCTTTTATAAAAGCATTCTTTAAAAAAACATTTTCACGTGTTTAAAGCGTTAATTATTGGTGTTTAATTTTTTTTTTATCCTTGTTTTAAAAAAATGACGTTTTTTTCACACATATTTTCTTTCATTAAAAATAAATATATTATAAAGACATACTTAGAGTTATTAACACAAGAATAGACTTTACTTCGAATAATTAGTAGAAGTTTGTTATATAACCTGTAGATAACTAAACCGTATAATTAATTTTCATGACAAGCACTTGAAAACGATATACGTTACATTACAATAAAAAAAACATGACGACTAAAACTTTTTGTTTGTCTTTTATTTACCTATTTTTATCAATTGTGCGCGTGAACTTGGAGCATGATTGTGCCCTGATAATTCTGATATTACAACAGTTTTATAGATAAATCAAGTTGTCGCAGCTAGAGAGTGAGACATGATAAATGATGATGTTGCATTATTACAAAGTACTGACAAACGATAAAATAATGCGACAGTTACGTACGTATCGTAAAAACTGTATCCTATCAGCAAACATTGTAAGTCACATTAATATTTATAGTGGCGCACACAATTATCCAAAATGTTCCGTTCATAAATACAAACACGGAGTATTTTTTATCGTGTCCGCAAGCGCACGCTGCAAATTCGCATATCATATATACGCAGCATTTCAGCGTTTGCAAATTAACATTGTATTTTACTCGTATTGTAAAGCTCGCAAAAAATATTTTACGTACGTTGTTTGTCAATTTAAAATCTTTTATTTATTTATTTATTTATTTTTATTCCTTTCCAATCGAGAAAAGGAATAAATTAAATCTACCGTACGTATCAATTTTCGAAAGAAGCGTCCGAATCAGTGACTTTGTAACTTCTTCGCTCTTGTATTGGTTTAAAATAAAGACCACCACGACGGCCGGCGCAACGCTCAAACATTCCACAAAAAATTTCCAATAGCGAACAACTGTAAGCGTTCGACGAACGTGACTGTGTTGTCTATTAGATCTTTTAAGTCTGCTATGGGATACACTATACCGACTCTCTCTCTTTCTCTCTGTGTGTGTGTGTGTGTGTGTGTGTGTGTGTGTAAATCTGTCTGTGGCGGAAGTGGTATCCTTTCCCCAATGATTCTTTCCGCGCTAGGCAATCCGTTTCTCAATGCAATCAGTAATGGTATCGACGTAACTCTTCAGATGGATGGGCTTTGCTTACAAGCCCTCGAAAGAGAGATCGTCCGGCATCCGTTCCAATTATCTCTCTCTTCCATCGTGTTGCAATTTATGTGATCGTTACATACGTACAACCCTTTTTCTGTGCGAACGTTCTTAATGTCCCTCAGAAAATCTTACACACGCGAGCGCGCGCCATGTAATTGAAGAAATCGTAATAGAATTTTAAAGAAAAATCTCTAAAAAATAAGTAAAAATGAGATAAAGAAAAGCACGAAAACAAATGACATGACAAAAACTTCAATACTTGTGTCGGAGGCGATCGTTAAAGCGATTTCTTGAATGATACATCTCAACACGTAATTACTCATCGGTTCTCTGCTTTTTTTTCTCCTCCGTTTTATTTAACTTATTTCCAGTCTTTGATTACGACATATATCGTCGTGCATTGAATATAAATAAATATACCGTAACAACTTGCTGATGCAATCAGAGCAGAGCGTCTGACCGGAACTAAATGTAATATTATTAAACGTTCTCGACGAATTATTTGCGCTATATTTGCGTATTATCGTTGCGTATATAAATTAATGTGCCACGAGCCATCTCTCTCTCTCTCTCTCTCTCTCTCTCTCTTTCTTTTTCTTTCTCTTAACAGATGCGAGTACTCATGCCGAATCGCTGATCGTCGTGTTTAATTACTAGATGTGCGATATTTTTCGGGGTCGCGATCCGATATGTTCAATCAACCCGCGGGAATCTCGCGGTTTGTTTTTTTTTATTACAGTCGAGAACAGAACTGCAAGTTGGGAATCTCGCATTTTTGCGCGCACAGAAGATGATTTCATCTAAAGCGAAACAAATAAACCTGATGGTAAAAAAAAATAAACAAATAAATAAAAAAAAACTGATCGAATCACACGGGAACTTTATCAAAATACGTACGCGCGCGCACACATAGTTGTGGAAACATATTTGCACAACTATTTGCAATAAATAGCGGAAAATTTTCGGTCCGATAAGAAGCAACATGTACGTCTGGCGATAGTTTTATCGCTGGCGGATTCCGCCACGTGCCGTCAGCGTCAAAAATCATAAACTAGTCGGAACGATGACGAGATCCGTGCCTCACAGAAAAGCGACAGAAGAGATATAAAGTTGACACGTAGTAAAATCACAAGATCTCGATAAACGAATAATCGCATAATTCGAACACGCGAAGCGACGCCGTTTTCCAAAAAGTGGTAAGAGACGATCGAAAGTGAAGCGGCGCATCTCGACTTGCTGTCTCTTATCCGATAATCGTACAGTTTGCAAAAACCAGGCGACAAGTTGACAAACTTTGTCACGTCGGACCAAAGTCGATGTTTGAACGTAAGTCTAACAATATTTAATAACAAATTTGAACTTATTTACATTTTTGACTTAATTTATTAATATCAATTAGAGAAACGAGCGTCACGCGATGTTCGCGAATTAATTGTTTATGGTGTAATTAAAGACTCCGAAAAAAAAAGTAGAAACTAAACCTGAGACACAAAAACCTGAAGATTCGGACGGCAATAAAACGCAACCTTATCATGCGATAATATTGAAATGCAGTTTCTTGGCGACGGGCCGGTAAAATAAATCAATACGCCGTTTCCCTTCCCTTTTGGTTTTTACTCACTCCTTTGAGAGAAACGCGATAAAGACGTCTGTCTTTCTCGACGAACGAGTCTTATATATATACACAGACCTTCCATTCACGCGGGTCGCATTCACAACACTCGTTTGTTTCCACTTTCCATCGTTTGATGCGCTTGAGAATAAAATTACAGCGTGCAAAAATATTGCGCAGAATTCGACATAGAATTTTTATTTTTATTTTTTTAAGTAAACTCGCGGCAAAAATAACACGAGCGCGCGATATGATCCGAGTGCAATTTAACCTTTTTTTGTCAAAAAAAAACAAAAAAAAACGCACGATTCGAGACGAGGTCTCGATTTCAATAATTTCGGCGCNTTAACGATACCGCTGTAGGTCAATCTTGGCGTAATGAGGTCTGAAGTAAAAGGACCCTCGAAAGCGCCAGCAACTTAGTTCAGAAACGGGACGGGAGAAGTAGAGTCATTTCCTTAAGGCAACGCGTGTGCGGTTCCAGGCACCGCGTTGTGGGAACCGNTCCACCTGGTCCGACATAGCGATGGTCGCTTGTTAACCACCGCCTCCTCCAGTGTCGTTGCTCGCCAACACAAGCGAGATGTCTAAAAACTGCAATATTATTTAAAGTCCAATATAATAATTTTATACGAAAACATTTTTTTAATGAAAGNTTTTGTTTTTTCTCGCGCTAGTTGGAGGTGATGGTTCCGAGCTCCTCTCCTCTCGGTTANTTTTCAATCGGTAAATTACCAAAAAGCCAACTTGACAGTTCGCTTNGAGTTCGCTCTAATTGAGAAAGTTGTTGGACGAAAAAATGTCGGGCAAATGTGTATAATCTCGCAAACACGTTATATATATCGCGAAGTTGCCCAACTCGCTCGCTCGGTCGGTCGCTCTCGCGCGCGCGGAAGCCTAATCAGTTTTTGAAACACTCGTCACGAAATCCAGATGCACAATTCGTACGAGTGTGTTGCGTAACGAAGCCGAGGAGAGGCTTTCCTCCTCGGCGCGATAGCCAGTTTCTCCGCTCGGAAACAAAAACACGCGGATCGAAGCGGTAGCGTCACGATATGTTCGCGCCGCCGTTGTATCTAATCTCCCCGCTGGAAGACATGCAATAAATACCGTAATCAGAAAAGGGGATGTTATATTCGGTGCGCCGATGCATCGGCCTATTAACGTCGTTAGTGCTATTCGGAGTCTTCGATCGAATCGAAACGGTCTTTCCACGCGAAAGCAAAAAAAAAAAAAAAAAGAGATCGCGCGGAGTGCGAGGAACGGGTTTTTTCGTTCACGCGCGTTAATTGCCAATTAATTAAAATCACCGTCTGTCTCATCAGTCTCAGCTAAATGAGAAAAATCGAGAACTGAGGAACAATCATGCGATCCCGATCGCCGGTGTTTCTGCTGCTGTTCTGCGCTGTTGTCGCACTCGCGGCGGAGATCAAGGATTGCCGACCGGGTGTCAACGACGAATTGATCTGGGAATATGACGTCAGAAGACCGCACCGGACCGGTGGCTATCAAGTACGTTTCCGATCGCATCGCCGACTCGTCGATTATTGGTCAATCGTGTTTCGACTTAGCACAATAATATTTTTCAAATTTGTCAAAATTGTACAATCATTTTACATCAATTTGAATTACATTTCCGTTGTATCTGAACGACCGTGTCCACTGACTCTTTTCCGATCTGTGCAGGAAGTAGAAGCGGATTACGGCCCGACGGACGTGAGGATCACGTGCATAAGGTTCCACTCGTTGTCCGAGGACGACAATGGCGCGATGTGGATCACTTCCGGCGGAATCGGACGGAATTTCGTCAAGCTCAAGTTCAGATCGAAGTATTCGCGCGGGCTTCGCTACAGAGTCTTCGTTTACGGGCGGCCCACCTTTAGAAGAGTCTCGCTGAGATCGCCTTGATCTCGTTCCAATCTTCACACATACCTCCTCGCACACTCAATGCGTTATTTAGTACTTAATGCGTCCGTGGAAGTTTTTTTCTGTAGAGCGAATTTAAATACAAAGTGGTTGTCATTTAAAAAACAAAAAAGTGTCTCATATACTCATGTTTTTTTTACTTTAAAGTAAAATACCTTGATCGCTACTTTGAACCGAGTTAAAATATATGTAATTCGCGTTTTTCATAGGTCTCTTCCCCCGTCGCAGCGTGTCGCACGTATTCTAAATCGACGTTGTCCCATCCGTGCAATAAAACCGTGAATTTATTACCGCCGTAATTTGGGACATTCACCCTCGCGTGTCGCGACAATAGACACAGTCACAGAAAACATTTTCCTTCCGCGCGTGACAGGAGGAAACACAGAGATTTATCCAGTGATGAATTTCGGCTTTTTCTCTTCACAAAAGCAATGAAATAAATCGACGACAAATATGTGACATTTTACATGTGTAATATTAAGCGAATATTAAGAGAAGAATTTAATTCGTTATCTTGGATTCGCACAAGCGCGAATCAAATCTCCGACGTTATTATCTCACAAATGCTGTCTATTTTTATATCTGGAACTTGTTTTAGAGAAGATAATAATTTTGCGTAACTTTGCTTTTTTTTTTCTTTTTCAATTCGAACGAATTTAACAGAGAAAGCAACGAGCAATCAGACTTTTTAATCGGAAATCGAGAAGAGAGTGTTATCTCTCGTTTCAGGAATATGTGCCGTGTAACCCCATACACACACACACACACACACACAGATTTGTGGGCCAAATTCCGAAGCTGACGTGACTGCTACGATAAGCCCCGCGTCGAAGTTCACGTGGAAAGGCGCGGGGAAACAACCCCTTCCGGATTGGAAAAGCATAATACGAGCGACAGGAGGTCGTACCATCCGCGGATTGCCTCCATCGACAAGTAACGAAAGAAATATATTTTTCCTGCGTGCAGAAAATAATTACGGTGACCGAACATGCGAAACGATATCGGTCCGTTCTCCTCTTCTCGTAACGGGCAATCAAAAGGGAATGAAAGTTTAATTCGGTTTCGCGTCAAGTCCGGAAGGATTTTTTTTTTCTTTCTTTTAAATTTCTTTCTCGTCGTGTTTTTATCGAGATGCTCGCGAGAATCTGGGATTACGGAGCGTGTTTCAGCGAAATTACAGAAATTCTCTTGTTTCACAAACATTGTTCGCGCTCGCAAGAAAGTGATTCATAATTTTAACTTGCGCACAAATGTGCAATTACGCAAATATAATTACAATATGTACGTACATATTATTTGCACGTCTGTTTGGCATATCGGCTCGTATCGACCTTGACACTCAGTTGAACAAGCTTTGTAAATTGTCACATGTAATTAATTACTACGTATGTAAATAAATTTACAATTGTATGTGTAAATTGGTTTTAACAAAATAAAACACATGTGAAAAGAATTTGGAATTTCTGACAATCTTTGTCAAACACCAATATTAACCTATATAATCGCAAAATATGTAATATTTAATTAATATTTAGCAATTAAGTTCCTTTATTTATATTTATTTATGTCATCGACAATTTGTGTTTTTTAAATTATTTCACCGCTGTGTACGCGGCATCGTGAACACAACACAGTCCATGAATGTTGACTGCCGATCGCCTCGGGCCCGTCGCGCGGTGGTTGCAGACCGAAAGACACCCTCGTTGTATGGCATCATCCCCGCCCTTATACTTGTGGCGCACGGGAACCGCGTTTAGGCGTCGTTGGGCGCCGCGGCACGCGATCCCGCCAACGTGGTGGGATCTTTCGGAATAACGTTAGAAGCGCCGCGACACCGACGTCGACGTTTTAGTGAAGGCCGGTCGTTCGTGGCAGAAACACAGGCGATAAACACCCCCACGGGTTTGGGTGCTGCAGTCCGGGTTGAGAAGCCCTGAGGAAACCGTATTCGCCGCCGACCATCCACCTCCATCGCCGAAGTACGCGCGTTCCTTGTTTTATTTTTCTCTTACAGAGAAGCAGGCACCGATCCATCGGAAAACATCGACGACTTTCAAAATGCCGCGAGTAAGTTTCTTTTTTTTATTGCAACTCTTAGAAATTATATAAATAATATGCAAATCAACAAGTTAATATTATATACAACACGAATCGATCATTAAAAAACACCTTTTCTTAACAAAAGAAATATTTTACTCACGCGTTAGTAAATGAAAATACACACATTTTCGAAGAAGAAACATATTAGATTTCAAACCTGCACGCGGTTGTTCGCTCGAAGATGCGATATCGATTCTCGATACCTAATTGCACACGCCGCTCTTATCGCGTAATTGATCAGCGATGAGGCTTCGAACAACGGGGGTGGTGTGTAAGTTCAATTAACTCTTGCAAACACACAAATGAGATCATTAGTAACGATTCCGCATTCTGAAGGTTGATTGACTTCCTTTTCACCATTATTATCTCAACCCGCGCAAACGCCGCTAATTGAAGAAGAGAGATATACCTCCCCCCGTCGATTCTCTCACGATCCGCACACTGATTTACAAAAAAAGAACCAGTTGATACAAAAAACAGAAGTCTCCGATAACGAAGTGACGATGTTGCAATTTTTTGCATCTCCACTCTTCGAAATTAAAAATTAAACAATATAATAATTTAAAATAAATTATTACACAATAAATAAAGTTTGAAAAATCTCTTTTCCTGAATAATATTTATACCAATGTATAAAAAGTTTGATGTTAAAAATTGCTTCGAAATTGCCATGTAACCCTATATATAGCTCAATTTTTTTTCATACTGTATTTTTTCTTAATCTAACTTTTTAAAATCAAGACTCATCGACCATATTGGACGATGTTTGTCACGAACGATGACGCATTCGCTGCGAGGGAGGAAGGATGTCGACGTAAAACCGTAATAATCTATTCACGAGCTGGGGTTGTGTCACGTGTCGCGCACCTCATTCACACCAGTCGCACATGTGTTGTGTCGCGCGTTTTCACCCCCCCATAGAAAATCACACTATCATACACGAAGAAGGAACTCCCTTAGAAGCACAAGTTTCAATTCTAGATAATTACGATTGAAATTCATTTGCGCGAGGTCAATTCCTCATCTACGCACGTGCATCCGTTTTAGCATTGATTGTTTAATTACGTCACAATCGCTCATTAGCACAATAAGACCTTGAAGAATTATGCAAACGCGCGAGAGAACCTCGAGAAGATGTAAAATTCTGTGGTTTATTTACGAACGAACCGAATGAAGTTATAACATATGCCGCAAGTTGCGTAGGAAACTCGCGTTGTGTGCGTGTGACACTGCACGCAAATACAAGTAATGAGACGCATTCTGCGCACTTTTTCAACACACGCACTCTGTGTCATATTCGATCGATATATACGTACAATGCTTCGCGCACGTACAAAACACGGCGCGCTTTTCCAGAAAAAAAAATATATATCACGGACAAGCAGCACAGATCGGATCTTTGATCTCGTTTGAAGGAGATGCAACGGCAAAAAAAAAAAAAAAACAACTATGTTACATATCGCATGCGTGCGTTGCGTCATGTTCTTATTTTTGTAAAACAAAATTGACAGATTACAGACCGAGGTCAATGTTTGTCGTAGTGCAATTAAATTTAAATGTTGAAACACACATCGAGAGATCGCGTCGCTGACGCAATATTTTCGACGATCGACAAGTCCACACACAAACGAGCAGTCCTCGACTTCCGACACATGCGAACGCGTCGCACATGAACGTGCGTGTCCGTTTTTATTTTGCTTACGCTCGGCTTCTTCTTTGACAATCTTGTTTGGGTACAACGATCGAACGCGGATTTTGCGATATCAATTATTTATGACACACATTAAACTTCGAATCTTTAATCGCTTTGGACATTGGATCACGTGCCAAGCGGGGCGCGCGATGAGTGTGTGTGTGTTCTCTCTTCTCTCTCCTCGCGTCTCATCTCTCTTGCTCGGAGATTTCACAAAATTGCGAAATTGTATCGATGATGTAACAATTTCAAGATCCGTATTGTATATATGCAGAAATTGCAGAAACGAGATGTATTTTATAAACAAGCGTTATAACGATAGCGCCAGCACCTAACAAACATCGACCTATTTTTGCGTCTTGCAGTTTATTCTATCGCCCGAGGAATCGCTATTATTAGGAAATTATTGTAAATATTTACTTGTCACGGATGCAGAATCGAAATCACGTTTCGCTCACGATTCGACGCGCTGCACAAACGCGCAGTTGCATAATCTCTAGTAATTCTTACAAAGACTTTTCTTAAGAGAAAGCGCGATAACGCAAATGTCATCGCGCATGAGAGATGACACGTCGTCAATTAGTGTGTATGTGTGTGTGTGTACAAAATATTTGTACGTACGGTAAATCGAGTCCTCGAGCGCACTTTTCAAAAATCTCTCCGTTATTACAAGAACCAGCAAGAACAGTATTTCGAGTCTGCTGAATTTTTGTTTCATCAACAAAACGTTTTGTTGGCGACCCAAAGGTCTCGACGAAGTGCAAGCAAATTTTTCTTTTTCTCTGGCAAATTTTTTTTTCGTCGGGGAGTAAATTGATTATCTCACATACACGAGATGCAACTAAGCATCTCGTAAATAAATTGTCAAATTAAATTTGATTCTCAAATTTCCGTGTGTGTTTTAATTTACACGTTAAAATTTATATTTGCACGTACGTCTGGCTCGTATCAAACCCTGGCGGTTGATCTCACGAGCTTTATAATTTATTGTAATTGATAATTTATTGATTGAGCATCGAGCGTTTTTTTATCGTCACAAAAGAGACCGGGGAGAAAATAGGCGATAGACGGTCTCGTTGACCCGAAGCCGTATGTCTGTAAAAAACCCAATTCAGATACGCACAAGACACTTTCTCTCTCACACACACACACACACACACACATAATCGGTAGACTTTTGCGATAAAAATTCCGAGTTGAAACTTTTTTGAAAAAAAAAAAAAAAACGACCTTCGGTTTATCGCCAATTAACACGAGGATCGCGAGTGACGATTTCGAAAATGGGTGCTTTGCGAGCGCTGGCGTTCTCAAAACAAAAATTACGTCTATACGCATACACACGAGATACGCTATCGTGCGACGCATTACATAAACGAAGAGACAATTCTCCAGTGTCCAAGTCAAGTACACACATAATACCGATAGCGAAACGAAAGTTTCCGCGCCTCGAAAATGTTTTTGACGTTCTTCCGCGATCATTCATGTCACACATGAGACAAACATTACGTCAAAGTTACACAATAACGACGATTCGATGTAGTTTGATGTAAATTTGAAATTAAAATAAAATCAAGCTAAAACGATAATCCCTGGCGCAAATCGGAAGTCCGGATCTCGCGCAGGTGACTCTCTCCCCGATGGAAAAGTCTCCCTCCCCCGAGGTAGAACGTTTCGAGCTCACAACCGGGATTTACGCTCGTGTATGATATTTCCATCTTTCTCCGCGAAGGGCTTCCCATAATATCTGACAAACGAGCGAATGGAAGTAGAAGAAGCCCGAGAGTCACTGCCAGGTACTGAACGGCACCAATCGATATATGCTTTAACTTGGGTCCGCCGGAATATCACAGCCGGAATACAAATCGGCTCGGGCTTCCGCAAACCGCGAAGACCATTCTCGGCGCGGCTTTTTCAGGTGTCACGATGACTTGAACGTGTGCCATGTGAACCTCGCGGCACGCTAGGCGAGCTCCAAGCCACCACCGTCTTGGCGTGTCGCCACCTCTGAATGAACATTGTCCCATTAACGGTATACAACGCAAATCTTGCGTGTTTCCATCCTGGAATCACATCGGTGGTCTTATTGCATTTCGACGACTCGGCATAGTTATTTAAACGTCAATTCTATGTATGTGTGTTATATTTATATTTATATACACACACATAGAATTTATGTACACGTTACCGGGCGTTGTGCACAATTTTACCGAGCGTTCGTTCTCGACGAATTGTATGTGTGTACGTATAGTTACCGTCATCATCTCTCATGAGAATTTTGCACCTGAACCGATAAACCGTCACGAGAGATAAACCGCGCGCACGTGTCCGTGATTCGGCGAGTTTAATGCACAGTCAACATGGATGCCGCTGTGCAAAATATAACAGATAAATTTAAAGCTCTACGACGATTATTGTCAGGTCACGAAGTCAAAATTTATTCTCGCAGACGTGATACAAAGCGATTGTTTGCGGACTCGTCTAATTAGATTATTAATTTCATGAACTTTGATGAACTTTGAAACGCACATATGTTGTATGTAATCTATAGGCGATAGAAAAGAAAATCAAATTGTCATAAACAATATCCCACCTCGATCGGTGCGTTCGACCCCGAAGGAGAAAGCGAGAGAGAGAGAGAGAGAGAGGGAGAAAACAGCGGTCAAGTGATAAAAAAATAATAACTGCGTCGGAAGAGACAAAACATAGTGTTTAGCGATTTCTATACCAAGAAATTGTTTTGTCTACGCACTTCGCGATACCGAATGTATTTTGGTATTACGCGAAGATCGCGCTTGCCCGCTAATCACAAACAAGCTGATAACTAAAAGTGTGTTAAAATGTCTAATCAACGGTCGCGGGTCAACTATTGTCGTGCTCGCTCCTATATATTGATATCGATCTGCAAACGAAAAGAAAACAGATATTAAAGCTCGCGATAAAGTCCAACTTAGATTTAAGGTCAATACGAGGCTCGTGCACTTTGGCCGGAAGTCAAACTCTGAACCTCCTGCACTTCGCGCAGACAATTTCTCGGATTTCAAGTCATCGTTTGCGAGAGAGATTCGCCCGGTGTCTCGGTGACCGAATTGCAGACGAGCGTCTGCAATGCGGGAGAGATCCGAGTTTCGATCTCCGGTCAAGGTATCTTTTTTGCAACAGATTGTTTAAATTTAATCTTAAAGAAGGTGAATTGGATATTTTTATGAAGCCGTGGAGCCTCGTCGAATCAAAACCGGATGTAGATTAAAAAGCGGATGCAATTTCGTCACTTAAAACGATTGTATAACTTATTTACAAGTTAATGAAGAACAGATTAGTAATCTGTTCCATAAGGATAATAAAAATATTGAATGAGTCAACTTGTTGTTTGTGTTTTAAAAAATATGCGTTGTTTCGAGAAATCGGAAATTTCCGAAGAAGAAACGTGACGCGCGCTTCCGAGAAAAAAGTGTGTGAAAAAAAATACAAAGATTGAAATTTGGAAAAAAACGTGAGAGAAACGAAATTATTGTTGGTTGAAATTCAACGTGTTGCAGCTAGCTTCGAAAGGAACGTCCCAATTGTCGGCACGGGGGCAGATGGAGAGACGGCGGCCACCGTTCCTCAGAGCTTCCACCAAGAGCAAGGAGGTAATGGCAAAACTTCATCTAATGAATCGTCACCATAAACTGTTCTAACGTGTGAAATTCTAAGAACGCCATAAGAAACTTCATAATTTCTGTTATGTTAATTAAACTAATTTACAAAATAAATGTTTACATGCACTTGCAAGAAGCTGAAAAAATATGCCCCGTAAAAAAAAAGCTAGCGATCTATGTTCGATATTCTTTTTTTGATTAACTCGGTTTTGAATAAAACAATATGCGGGCGAACAAACATTAAAAAAAAAAATAGAATAAATGGAATAATTTGCAATTGTCGACTTCGAACAGCTGTGAGAAAGATAGATCATAAAAATACTCCACCCGCGTAGAATTTTCACGCACGAGTAAATCCACACCGGAGCGTAGAACGTCGCCATGACAACCCTTAACAAACAACAAACAAGATCCTAACCAATTCTCCGAAGATGCGCGAGTCTATGTTCGTTCTTGAAATGTCACCTTATATATTTGTTATATTCGTCTTTGTTTTGTCGATATGATACTTGCAAAGTATTTTCATCTTCCTTCCTGTTCTTGGTGTAATATTAAAAGAAAAAAAAAATAATTTTCTAAAAATAATACATTGAATTATAAAATATATCGTCAGCACACACACACACACGCACACGCACCGTACAATTTCAACAGTGTACAATAAAATAAAAAAATTGTTTGAAGAAACAATGTTTTGTTTTACAATCGCCGCATTTTTTGTCTACATTAATTACGGATTTCGAAGCAAATCGAATGTTGTCATCTCGCGCGTCGATTAGGAGATTAATTAAGTAATGCCGCGTAAAACACACAGCGCCTGGTGTAATGTTGCTACTTGAAAAATTCTACCTGTGTGTACAGACGGAACGAGGTACCGGAACTAAAATGGATTCTGCACGCAGTGGGGGTGCACGGGAGGAACAGGGTAGCGACGAAGATCTGTCGCCGGACGCTTTGGTCAGACAAAATTACGAGCTCCGTCATCGTCTGGAGGAGGAGGCCGCGAGTTACAAGAGACGTTTGGACACGTACCGACAGGCTCAGCAACATCAAGCCGCTCTTGTCTCGCGTTTGCAAGCGAAAGCAAGTATTGCCCGATCGTATATCGTTCAAAACAGCCCAAGTCGCGGATCAAGTTAGAAGATCAAAACGAATAATAATCGAAAGCTTTCAGGTTCTGCAGTACAAACAGAGATGTTCCGAATTGGAGAGCCAAATGGCGGAAACGATCCCGTACGACACCGGCATTACGAAACCAGCCGCGACCACGTTATCTTCCACCTCCGCGCTGGAGGCTGCCCATCAGACACTTCGGGATATACGCGAGGAGCAAATTCACGACCTGGACACCGCTCTGAAGAAACTCGCGGAGGAACGGCGAAAGTACGCGCGGAAAATTAAACACACGCGTCTCTTCGCTGATAATTTAAAAATAAAAAAAAAGCCTAGTGGAGCCAACGCTGGTCTTTGCTCAAAAATTTTTATTCTCTCAAATATGATCGTGTGATTGCATACGATCTCAAGTATCCAGCTTCTCTTGACTTCCTAATGTCTTTCGTACAGATGCGAGGAACTCTTGCAACTGAACGCGTCGCTGAAGGATCAACTCGAAGAATCTCACCAGACGAACGAGGCGCTCACTAACGACATGCAAAAACTGAGCAACGACTGGGACATATTGCGGGAAGAACTGGCCATCAAGGAGGACGAGTGGAAGGAGGAGGAACAGGCGTTCAACGAATACTACATATCCGAGCACAACAGGCTGCTTAATCTGTGGCGCGATGTTGTGTCCGTCAAGAGATTGTACGCGGAAATGAAATCGGCGACAGAAAGGGACTTGGCCAAGTTGCGAAATGACATCGTCGCGTCGTCCAACGAGATGACATCGGCATGCAACAGCGCGAACTTCACTATGCAATTACAGACGAACACAGGACAGTCTACAGTAAAATTGTTCTCCGACCGATTACACCAGTTACGATTGTTGATTGATGTCTACTTCATTGTTCGCATTATTATTTTCAGACATCCCAGAAACTGCAACAGCAACAACAAGAAGAGCAAGCGACGTTCGTTCTGAAAACGGAAATCACAGCGCTGAAGCAACAACACGCCGCCGATCAGCACGAGATTCGCATGAAGGACGATCGCATAAATCAGCTTATTCGGGAGATTCGCAATTTAGTAAATATACGATCTTCTCGCAACCCTTAATCTCCGTCTCTTTTTGGGCCAAAACCAAAAAAAAATCACGCGTTTCTTCGCGACAAATCGCAGGAAGAGAGATGCAGCGTTTCGGAAGCGGCGGTGACTCAAACCACGCGGATGCAGGAGGAGATCGAGGTGTTGGAATCCGCGCTGAAGGACATCGCTCACGCCGTGATACAGGACGCCGAGAGTCGGGACGCGGACGCGTCGAAACAAGCGCCGTCGCACATCCATCTGTCGTCGCACAGCGACAGATCGATTTCGCAAAAATCGCCGAAAAAGACCCCGCGTAGCAGCGCCATACCGGCGTTCGCCGAGAGCACCATAAGCGCGGTGCGAGCGGCTCTGCAGAAGTATCAAGTGACCATATGCGAGTTACAGGTGCGCGCAAATAGAATATTTTGTGTAATATATATTTTTATATTTATTACATACAATATTTTATTACGCCGTTTTTTTTTTTGAATCTCGCGTGAGAGAATTCACAATTCGAACTTATGTGTCAGGTGAAATTGCAAACGAGCAAGGAACAGCTTTTGGCGATGCACAAGCAATGCGACACCACGGAGGCGAACGCACAGATGCTGAATACAAAAGTCGCGGAACTGATCTCCCAATTGGACACGTGTAACTCGCATTGCGCGCAGTTGAGTCAGGAGAAGGAGATGATGCAGAAGAATCTCGACGCCGTGAAAGTGGAGAAAAACGCGCTGGACAAAAACAAGATGGAACTCAACAGTATGGTAAGAGAATTCGGGAAACGAACGTCGATCGCGATTTTATTTCCTCGCGTCTGTCGATTACGAGTCTGTCGCTCCGAAGTCACAGATCGTCCGTGTTTACAGATCGAAGCTCTGAAGAGCAACTGCGAGAAGCTCCAAAAGGCGAATAACAAGTTGCAAAAGATGTGCGATAATCTGGAGGACGAGAAATTGTATCTGCAAAACGAGCTCGGCAGAATATCGGACGACGTTAACTTGAAGTATTACGCAAATTTGTTGATGTTTTCTTCGTTCATTCATAATTTCGACGACTCTTGTTTCTCTTTTTTTTTTTTTATTTTCGCGCGTACGTAAAATGATTTCGTGTGTGTACAGGGAATTGAGTTTGCGATCGGAGGAGGACAGGTGCAGCAAAATGAGGGAGGAACTGTTGACGCTGCGAGAGGATCTGAACAAGGCGTATCTGGCGAAGGACATGTTGGAACAACAGAAGCTGGAGACCAACAGATTGATATCTCAAATCGAGAAGAACAAAGGTAAAAAAATATTTTCGACGAGTCGTTCGTTCGTATGTGTGTGTGTGTATGACACGTAAATTGACCTCAGGCGATCTGGAATTGGAACTGGAGCGAATATTGTTGGAGAAGTCGGACGTGCAGGATATGTTGATGAAGATGGAAGCGATATGCTCCAACCACGAGCAGGACAAGCAGAGACTGCAAGAGGAATTGAAAAAAGTAACGTTCACGTTGATACGCATATCAGTTCGGTCGGGTTTGCGTAAACTCGATATATCGACAAACCGAATCTTCTGTTGCAGATAACCGACGAGAAGAACAAGCTCGCGAATCAGTGCGCCGATCAGCAAGGCGATTTGAACTCGTTGAGAAAGGAACTGTTGCAGGCGGAACAGACTCGACTCGACATAGAGTCCGAGAAAGTCACGTTGAGCGAGAAAATCAAAATCCTGGAGATTGAGAGGGAAAAGGTCGAGATGGAGCTGGGTCAGATAACTCGCGAGCGCAACGACTTGAGCAATCAGTTGTCGGTTCTGGCGCGTAAGAAAGAGACGTTGAACGAAGACCTCATGAGACACAAGCAGAAACTGGAACAGTCGAACGAGATGAACGCGCGAATAAACAGAAATCTGAAAGATCTCGTGAAGGACAACGAGGAGAAACAGGCAAGAAGAAACGATTATAGAAATAACGTGCATTTTTTGTTAATTTGTTTGAAAAAAAAATAATTGAAAAAAACAATCCGTGCTTCGTTTTCCGCAGGTACTTCTCGAGACAAATGATAAAGAATTTCAACGACTTCAAGAGCAAATCGCGTCGATGCGCACCGAAAAGGAAATGTTGGAAGGTGTGCTGTTCGACACGCAAACCAATCTGGAAGCGACGCATATCAAGAAAACGCAGTTGGAGAAAGAGCAGAAGGAGATCTTGATAAAACAGGAAAGACTGAAGGAACAAGTTACACAGTTGACGAAGGAGTTGGAAAACAGCGAGAAGCGCGCGCAGGACATCAAACAGTCGCTCACGCAGCAGAGTGGCGATCAGATCGCGGAATTTCAACAGGTCATATCCAATATGAAGAGACAGTCCGACGAGAGCATAAAGAAGATCACCGACGAAAAAGTATTCATTTACTCGCTTGAAGAATTCAACTTTTTTGCTTTTTTTTTTTTTTTTTAACCTACATACGCGCATATTTCAATCGTTTTTTGTTCGTTTAAGGAGAAAATAAGAATAACCTTGGAGAAACGGTTGCAAGACTCTGTGATGCAACTGGACGGAGAGAAGAACGAAGAGATCAATCAACTGCAGCAACGAATAGAGGAGATGCAGCTACACTTAGAGAATTTGTGCAAGCAGCACGAAGAGGTGCTGCTCAGGGCTGAGAATGACAAGCAACAAGCGCTTCTCATAGGTAAATATAAAATATCTTCAATTGTGTTCCAAGTCAGGGTTAACGCGATAATCGATATATACGTCACGTTTGTGTGCAAAACCCGAAAACTTGTTGCAGCTCATCACGAGCAACAGGCTTTGATTGAAAAGATCGACGCCATTATGCGCGAGCTCGAAGAAGAGAAAAACAACTTGGAACGAGTCAAAAGAGAGGCTGCGGCGCGTGCCGATCAGGAACGTAACAACACGAATCAACTGCGCGACGAGTTGAGCCGTCTCAAGACCAAATTGGACGAGTCAAAGTTGAAGGCCAACGAGGACAAGATGAAGCTCGATCTGAAGATAGAGGAGCTCTGGAAGGAACGCGAGTCCGCGCAAAGAGAGGTCGAGGAACTTCAGGTCCAGCTGCACATGACGGAAGACAAGGTGGACTCGCTGCAAAATCAATTACACGATACCATTAGGAAACTCAAAGATGGTAATCAGTCGGTTCTTTCTTAATCCAATTGAATTTCGTCTCGCACATTGCATAGTATCTTTATTGTAATTAACCGCACAGCTGACAATGTTAACGAGACACTGCGCAAGGAACTGGTGGACGTGAGGAGACAGTTGGCGGACACCACGTACGAGAAAGAGAAGTACAACACCAGTAACAAGGAATTGCGCGAACACGTGAAGAAAATTGAAAGCGAGAGGAGAGAACAGGGCAGAACGTTGGAAGAGACGTATCAGAAGATAGCAAGTCAGTACATTGTTACACTTTCTCGTTCTGTTATATCTGATGATATCTGATGATTTAATCTGCATCCGCACAACGATACTGTTAATGTTTAAAACTGTCCGTTCAGCATTGGAGGATGTGAAAGCAAACATGGACAACGAAAGGACGCGTCTGCAGGCGCAGGTACGCGACATGGAACGCGACGTGTTGCAGCTGCAGCAACAGCTGCGCTTCACGCAGGACGAGTTGCACAAGTGTCACGAGAACAACGCTCAGGCTCAAAACGAGGAGAAGGAGTTGCAGGCGAGATTAGCCAACGAAATCGAGGAGAGAGAACGAATACAGTTGCAACTGCATCAAGTGAAGAAACAGGTATACAGAGAATTATGTGAGTCTTTTTTTTTTTATTTCGTCAGTCCGACACATTTGTTTCTCTCGCACAGGTTGTCGACTTGGACAACAGTTTGGAAGTTACGCGACAAGAGCTGGGCAAACTGCGCACGCGAGCGGACGAGGAGGATGAGAGATGGCGCGCTCGAGAACAGGAGTTGCTGGTGCGTCTCGAGGACAGTCGCTGTCGCGAGAGAAAATTGGAGGATCAGAAACACAACTTGGAAGTTTGCCTGGCCGACGCCACGCAGCAGCTTCAAGAGCTGAAGGTATGTTACAAAAAAAAAAAAAAAAAAGCACACGACATGTGAACAAAATGTGAAGAGAGAACAGAAATAAAAGATACGTTTTGAATATCAGGCGCGTCTCGGGGGATCCGAAGGAAGAGTTAGAGCTCTCGATGCTCAGTTGTCGCAATTGGAGACTGCTAAGAAAGAGGTCGAGCAGAAGTTGAGCAGCGTAGGCTCAACGCTACGTCGCATCGCCGGCATTCAAATGGACGGGAGCGTGAACATGCCGTTCAAACTGATGAGTCCTTCGCGAAGATGGAGTCCAGCACGTGGTAAGAGTTTAAGTTTCTTTACTTTGATTCGCAACAACAAGACTGTCGTCTCGTGTGTTCAACATGTACAGATATTTTAATTAATTAAATACAAATATATGTTTTCAATCAAGCGCAAACCCACGGTGATAGCGGCAGAGATGTCGTGCTGGATGTCGATCCCGAGGCTGTTAGAAAGGGAGTAAGAACGTTGATGCAACAGATCGCTCAAATCGAACGCGAAAGAGTACGTTCAGTTTTGAACAATTGATCGAATCACATGAGTCGACGATTTATCAGTCATCGATTTGTCACAAATCTTTTAATGCAAAACAATTGCAGGATGATTACAAAACTGAGCTGTGCAGCATGAAGAAGCAGCTAAAAGAGTCTCAGGAGAATCAGAGCAGCACAAACGTAAAAGTCAACAGTCTGCTCGCGAATATTCGAACGCTTCAGGAAGAGAAGAAGTCTTTGGAAACGAAGTTGACTCAAAAACAATCTGGCTACCAAGCACAAGTACATTTCCTTTGAAAAATACACACACACACACACACACACACACACATCTCTTATGTTATTTGAATTATACTTATTCGTCTGTTACTTAATTTTCTGTAGTTGGATGCGCTCCAGCAGAAGACGGAGGAGTGCGAGCAATTGTGCGAAAGACTCACTACCTTAGAATTGAAGATCAGCACCGAATCGGAAGAAAAGTCCCAGTACGAGGTAAGTATTCGTACTTAAAAATGATCTGCGACGCGTATTTATTCATCATGTTATTAAAAAAATGACATACGTGTCATTTTTTATATTTCTCTGTAAAAGGACAAGTTAGAAAAGATGAAACAAGAACTGAACAAACTGGAAGCGGAGAAGCGTAGTCTTCAGAAAGAGCTTCGTCACAGCGAGTCTCGTGTGACGGAAATAGAATTACAAAAATTGTCCTTGGACGGGGATCTTCAGAGATTGCAAATGATGCTGCAGGAAAAGGATGCCCATCTCCAGGTAAGAAACATTTATATTTTCTAACTTAATAACGCGCGTAAAAGTTACGAGAAATCTCACGAACGTTGTTTACGCGTCAAGAAATTGCAAGATCGCTTCGAGACGCAAAGCCGCACCATGACGGGTCTGGAGGAACGTTGCGCGTCCTTGAAATCCACTATAGAACAATTGAAGCTAGCTTTGGAAAAAGCGTCCGCCACAGAGAGCGAACTCAAAGATGAGATCAATCTACTGCAAAACAATCTGACGGAGATCACCTCCTCCTCTCAAAGCAACACCGAGAAGTTCAAACAGGTGAGAATTTTTGGCCACGTGTATCAACAAGAGCGATTTCGTTCGTGTTGATTGAGAGATTACACATATGTGTGTTTTGTTTTAGCTTCAGAAGCAACTTTCGAACGCCGAAAACGAACGCAGAATATTATCCGAACGTTTGGAAACGGTTCAACAGACGTTGAGCGATCTGAAACACACGAATCAGTCGTTGATCGATCAAAACGCGCGACTGCAGAACGAATTGGCTAATAACGAGGTACAGAGATCGGCGTTGCAGTCGCAATTGAGACTGTCAACTTGGCCGCCGGAAGGCAGCGCGACCAAGGACGAAGAGCTGTTGCGTCAACTGCAAAACGCTCAAAGAGAACGAAGCGAACTGAGAGGAAAGGTGGACGCTCTTAACGATAAGGCAAGTCTGTACGGCTGCGTTGTTTTTCCACGTAACTACAACAAATGTCAAATGAAATTCCCGTTTTGTTACATACGTGAAATACATTTCTTAAAAATAGGTGAAGTTGCTGGAATCTGACAAACGTAATTTGGAGCATCAGGTCGCCTCGGGCAAGGCGATTAGTATTGCTCGAAGCAAGAGCGAACGTCCGGAAAAAGCCCATGTGGAACTTCTGGGCACTTGTTACAGCTTCGACAATCTGGAACACGAGAACAGAGAGCTGAGATTGAAAGTGCGCAAACTGGAGACCCAACTGGCGGAAAAAGAGACCGAGCTTATACGAGTTAAGTCGACGTACATTCATTCCTCTCATTTACTGGACACAAGTCGAGATAGGAGCTGCGAGTTGGAAAGAATCAGAGCTGCGCAGTTGCAAGCTGAGAAATTGTTGGAAGCGCGGGAACAGAGTCATCGTCAGCAAGTGTCGCGTTTAGAAAGTCAGGTATTGACTTTCAATCCGTCTCCCAAATTTGTCCGTCAACCAAATCCGATCGATATTTCAAAAATACGTTCTTACTTGCAGATACAATTGTTACGGGAGCAACTGAATCAGGAGATAAAGCGCAGACAGTTGTACGTTTTGCGAAGCACGCGAGCCGGTAGGGAAATGCAACAACTGCGACAGGCGCTGGGCGACTCTCTGAGAACCGTGGCGCAGGATCCGTCACTGGACGCGGTACTGTTGGAACACGAAGCGCGTAAATTAGATTCCACGTTAACGAGCAGTACCAGTTTACCGCCGTCATTAGCCTTACCTCCTCCACCGTCCTACAATAGATCCAGCACACCCAAATAAAATAATCGTAATTCGAATGACGCGAAAAAGGTAATCGGCGACTGATCTCTGTCTTTGAAAACTGCCAGTTTGAAAGAAAAAACAGTAGTATTCGTACATTTACACTTCTTACTTACATTTCTTAAAAACGCGGAGGTACATTGTAATTCTCTTATATCAAAAAAAAAACAAAAAAAACAATATTATTCAACGTGCGTGTGTGTGCATTTTACACAACGACATTATTTCAAGAAACGAAATCACACTGATCTTACAAATGAATTTTACTAGTGCTTCTTGATATTTTTTACACTACAAAAAGAGAATGGATTTTTTGATAATATTTTATTCGATCTTTGATATACTGACGATTTTTACCAAATTTTTTTATACGAACTTTATGCTTCCAAATGATAAAAGGATGTAGACGTGTGAAACAATATTTCTCACGGTTCACTATAACGTGTACTGAAGAATTTAAAATTTAAAACCAGCTGAATACTTTTTTTGACTAAATTACAATAAAAAAAAATATATATATATATCTGATTTAATATTAAAAAATATTTATACAACTCCACACATTATACACATTTAATAATTACACTCCACAAACACAGCGAAAACGCAAAGTGAGTATGTGCTAGTCTGTGAAGTCCGTCCATTGATAATTGTTACTGACTTTGATCAGAAATATTTATAAGTTTTATTTACCTTAAAAAAAAAATGTATCTATGATATATACGTGACACGTCTTATTTCATACATTTAAATGATTAGAGAAAGATCGAGAAGAAGGCGAAATGCGTGCTACTCGTGTTACTCGCATGTAACAGGAGGTATCCGTAAAAAAAAAAAAAAAAAACAAAAAAGTAGATGGCAACAGTCGAGAAAAAATGCTATTGTTTAGTCTCGTTCCGAGACCAAAAAAACAGCAAAACAGCAGAAGTATTATAATGAGAGATTAAACTTCCGATTGTCAGATTTATATTATTCAAAAATCACTTACTAGGGATAAAGCGTAGACAGCGATATGTTATAATAACAGAGGAGAGAGAATTAAAAGGTACAGTGTTTTTGTACCTATTATATAGAGAGTGGACTGTGTCTGTTCTTTATTATTAAGAATATAGACATCCAGTCCTGTGTTATGCTTACCTCTTGGTTGAACTGTGTGGCTTATGATACCAGGATGATAAAAAAAAAAAAAAAGTTATTAACTCTTTGCAGTCTCAAGCTCAAAAAACTTGCGACGAAAAACATTACTTAAAAACTGTGTGTAACACAGGTGTGTAATTTACATTGTTTGATTTTTATACATTAAATTTTCCAAGTAAATTTTCCAATCTTGATTGTTATGTCATAAAGTACAAATATTGATATTATGTGAAAGATGTGCAAAATTCAAAAAGTGTTAAATCATCAGAGACAACTTGGACTGCAAAGAATTGAAGGACACATTGTTTATGCTTGACGTGCGTTTTTGTAAATGTTGGAAATTATATTTGTCAAAAAACTTGTTATCTCGATTCGGTTATATTTAAAATTTATATTTAAATCTATCTATATGTGTAATAATTTAAGAAATTTAATCTTACAAAAACATCTCCGTTGTTTTTTTTTTTTTTTTTTTTAATCAAGCTTATTTCCAATACAGACTCGTGTGTATTTGTGTTGATCAAGATATATATTGAATTTGTGTAAAGAAATGCTTTTTGCTCGAAAAAAAATTATATACATCACATAGAAAAATATATTATGTTACGTATATTGAATACGGCGTGTGTTTTTATATTCGCGTTTGCACAATGTGTGTGTAATTACATACACCGCGGTATTGCAAGATGTCACGCGATTGTTTGCGATTACGCTGTAATTTTTCCACGTACCTTGGAGAAGACGAAGATCGCCCGTTGTTATTTCCGCGCGCGAGCCACTTGTCTCTTCTCCGCAACTGCTTCATTTCAGTTCGATTGCACTCCATTTCCCTGTATTCTTCTAAAAAATTCGTTTTTTTATACACCAGTTTGAACTTACGTATCTCGCACCGGGTTTTGCGCGCGTATATTCGCAAAAGTTTTCTCGAAAACCGAAATAAATCATCAACAATCCGAAATCACAGAAACGATGTGCGCGGCGGCGCATTGACGCGATTGTGCGTATCGCGAGAAGTTGAAAACAATTATCGATATCGATACATCGATATTCGTTTCGGCGCGATTCGATTGGCAAACGACATCTCGAAGAGAGATAAGCGCTCGCAGCGCGACTTCACTCCATACAGACTTATTTAAGTCTATGCTTCACCCTCCGCCCTATGAGCTCGCAGCGTCACGGCGCATGCGCGGTGAGAACGTCATTTGAATTTGAACCGAAGTTAACGAGCGTTTGCCGAGTTATGGCAGCGGGGCGGATTTTAACGAGATGTTCCGCGTTCACGTGCGTGCGTTCGGCGGCTCGATAATAAAATAGAATCGATATTGTTTGATTGTTTTTTTTTTTATAAATAAACAACGCGTGCGAGACACAATTTACGCGACGATGTCGGACAGTAGCATACAAGTGGCGATCAAAATCAGACCGCTCATCCAACGAGAGAAGGAGGAAAATCTGCCGATGCAATGGATATCTCAGGGCAAAACCATCGTGGCTACGGACGCGGAGATCAAGAAGCGAGGCGACGGTGGATTTCAATTCGGTACGGACGCGGAATTACAAGCAAAATGAGATTTATGAGTGCCGAAAGCATCTCCGCTTGAGGGTCTTGGCGCGTGTACTTCTCGAGAAACGCATTTTCCATGTTTGCTGTCAAACTTTTGTTTTTACTTTCTCTTTCCCGTCAATGTTTGAATACGTTTTCACTTCAAGTTCGAGAGAGAAAAATGTCGCGTTGTATTTTTACAGAATTGGATGTAATTAAAAAAAAAAAAAACAAAATTTTAAGTGTTGAGGTTATGATGTTGAAGTCTTGAAGTTTGCTTTTGTTTCTGTTTCTATAAGAAACATAAGATGGTTGCGGAATATTTAATACGGCGACGCAGTTAGACAATTAGATATTCATTATGAATTTATTTTTTTTTTTTCAATAATTCTTACCGTTTTGTATTTTAGATCATATTTTTGATATGAACTCGACCAACAACGACGTGTTCGACACCATTGTAAAACCTATAGTCGACGCTGCTGTGAATGGATTCAATGGGACGGTGTTTGCTTATGGACAAACGAGTTCTGGGAAAACTTACACAATGATGGGCACAATGGAAGAGCCGGGTGTCATACCTTTGGCTGTTGAGTACATGTTCGACGCTATTTCCAACACTCCCGGACGGGAGTTTCTGTTAAGGTAAAATATTTTTATCCATTGTGATGTTAAAAAATTTTATATGCATTTTGAATTTTTATCTGTTTCCAGTCAAAGATGTTTGTTATTTAAAAAAAACGTTTATGCTCATTTTCAAAAGTACAGTATTGTGATAGAAATTGTCACTTTTCAGGGTATCTTACTTGGAAATTTACAATGAAAAAGTCAACGACTTGTTAGATGTAAATAATTCAGACTTGAAGATACACGAGGATATAAATAATCAAGTATTTGTAAAGTGCAAAGAAGAAGTTACTAATTGTCCAGAGAATGTTTTGTCAATTATGTGCAGAGGTAACAAGAACAGAAGAATAGGAGAAACCAATATGAATGAGAAGAGCAGTAGAAGCCATACAATCTTCAAAATTGTAAGCATGCTTCTATATATATATATATTTTTTTTTTTCACATATTGCTTACATATGCGATATTGTTTAAAAAAACTTGTATTAGATGAGGTAATCTAAATGTTATGAGTTTGCAAAACACTGTGAATGTTGTAGACAATTGAGAGCAGAGAAGCTGGCGCGGATGGTGCAATACAAGTGTCACAATTGAACATGGTTGATCTTGCTGGATCGGAGAGGATGCGGCAAACAGGTGCGACTGGAGAACGTTTCAAAGAAGGACGTCACATTAACTTGTCCCTTTCTACCTTGGCGTTAGTAATCAAACAATTGAGCGAGTCGCAAGACGCTCAGAAATTTATAAATTTCCGAGACAGCAAACTCACAAGATTATTGCAAGCCTCTCTAGGTGGCAACGCGATGACTGCGATAATCTGCGCTATAACACCAGCCGCGCTCGAAGAAACCCAATGCACATTATCGTTAGTATCTTAAAGTATTTGCAATATGTGTACGTATAAATAGAATGTAGTTTGTAATTTGTTGTTGCTTAATGAATAGATTCGCATCCAGAGCGAGAAATGTGAAGAATAAGCCTCAGCTGAACGAGGTCATGTCTGATGGCGTACTTTTGAAACGTTATGCGAAACATATCGATGCGCTTAACGCGGAATTAGAGGTAAATACATATATTCATTATCTAATTAATTTTGCTACGTGTGTGAAAACTTTAAATAAAAAAATATTTTAAACAATCCTGATACAATCTATTATGTAACAAAAATCAATTTTTTAGAGAATGAAACAACTGACCGGATCGACCGATTTGCTGGAAATCGAGTCTAAAATGCAAGAAAAAGATCGTATCAATCAGAATTTAGAAAATCGAATTCGATTATTGCAAACCCGAATAGTCACGAGCAACAATCACAACAGCGAATCGTTCAAAACGAGAGAGAAGAGAAGACGAACTTGGTGCGGTACCGATGGATATAAGTCTACATTCCACTCGCGTGTAGATTTATCACCAATCAAAGAAATGTCGCCTATCAAGTTGCACAAATCTAAATCGAACGACATTGAAATGAATACATGTAAGTTCAATATCTCGCGTCTTTTCGCGTAAACTCAAGTCAAGTTATAAGTTAAAATTAATTGAAAATTATTATTTTAACACCTATTACTTGTTTTTTTTTAATTCGAGATTACACTCGAATTAATTTTAACAATAAATGCAAAATTTATTTTTGCAGCGTTCGAGGTAGCTTTCGAAGACTTTGAATTGGAACTTATGAAAAGTGAAGCTAATCGTGAGGAAGAGAGCGATGATGATGATGTTTTCATTACACGTCGTCCTCACAATCGAGTGAGGTTTTTGGAAGATGTATTCATTCAGAAATCGCCTGTAAACTATGACAGTCGTGATACCACTCCTGAAAAACTGGACTCATACGCCCAAACTACAAGGTAGATTACATAAAACCAAACGTACTTGTTGTAATTATATTTTATTTGCAAGTTGAAAGTCAATATTTTTTTGTTTCTGTTTGCGAGCTAGCAGCTTGTCTCCGGGAACACCAAGACAAGTTTTGCAGGACAGAGTCCGTCGTCTGGCGGAAGAGTACGAAGAGTTGCGAGAGTACACAACCTTGGAGAAGCAGATGTACGTTGACGAACATAGCCAGAAACTCGCAAAAGTCTCGTCGTTGGAAAAACAACTGGAAAACACGACATGCGACAAAGACGCCTTCGAACATATAATATCTGATCTTCGTAGACAATTAACCGCGGCCGAATCGCGTTGTGCGTCGGCGGAGGATCAGATGAACGCGCAAGCGTCCGAATTACAAAGAATACCGAGTTTAGAGAAGCAAATCGCGGAATTGACCGCGAAAACGATCGAAATGCAAAACATTTCACAGTTGCAGAAGCAAATAAACTTTCTCACAGCTGAGAAAGATGGATACGAATGCGTGGCCAAGCAATTGCGGATCAAGCTCAATGAGTCTGAACAACGTAATATTTTGCTGGAAGAGAAATTACAACAAGTAACGTCACGAAGAACGGAATTGGAAGAACCGCTTATAGAATTCGCGTCAGAAAACGGGACCACGCAGGGAATAAAACTGGAAACCGAAATTATCGCCGCATCCGAAAAAAATAACTTGGAGTGCAAAATAACCGAACTTCAAAACAAATTGGCGGAAGTGGAGCAATGCAACAGCTCGTTGAAAGACAAATTGCGCGAACGGGAAACGGAACTGCAAGATCTCGGCGTCGCGCGACAACAGGTTCGCGATCTCGCGTCCGAGAAGGACGAGCTTCAGCGCGCTGTTTGCGAGATTCAGCAGAAATTGAGCGAAGCGGAGGAATGCAACAGCTCGTTGAAAGACAAATTGCGCGAGCGGGAAACGGAACTCCAAGATCTCGGCGTCGCGCGACAGCAGGTTCGCGATCTCGCGTCCGAGAAGGACGAGCTTCAGCGCGCTGTTTGCGAGATTCAGCAGAAATTGAGCGAAGCGGAACAAGTCAATACTTCGATAAGAGATAAGTTGAGCGAGCAGCAACTGGAAGTTCAAAAGTGTCAGTATCAAGAGAAGCGAATTGAGCAACTCATGTCTGAGAAGCGCGAATTCGAACTGGTCATCGATAAATTGAAACAGCCACTCGTGGGGCCGGAAGTACTTAGCGCAACGGAAGGTGAGACAAACGAAGATCAGCCACATGTAGACGCACTTCAATTTCTAGAGGAACATATTCAGAATCTTCCACAAAAAAATATTCTAAGAAAACAAGAAGAATCAAAAGAAAAGACAAATGACAGTTTAACGGACACGTTGACGGAAGTTGAAGTAACAAATGCTTCAGTGTCAGTTGACAGTGCTGATGACGAGGTTGCTCGTCTGAAAAATCGCATGAACGACTTGGAGTGTATAATCGCAGATATTCAGAAAGAAAATAAACATTTGAAGGAGGAAGCGTTAGCGAAATCGGCAATATCGAATCACGAGTACGATTCAATCAACGAGTCGTCGGTCAATGTGGAAGACATGTCGAGCACGAAGATGTCCTTGGATGACACTCTTAAGTTGTCCGCCGATCTGGTTCTGAAGACTCAGCAGTTGGACGAGATGAGAAAGGACGTGCAAAGCTTGAAGGCGGATTTGGAAAGCCTGCAGGAAACCGTGTATCTGTTGACAACCGAGAACAGCGAGCTGGCGAGCAAATTGTCGGCGGAGAAGGAGTGCGCCGAGAAGGCGGCTGCCGATTTTCAGCAAACGATCGATGATCTTTACGCGCGAAACGCAAAGATACTGGATGAGAAACTCAATCTGCGGAATAATTTGGTGTTGCTCAACGATGAGTTGACAATTCTTCGTTCAAAAGTATCCGAAACAACTTCCAGCGAAAACGAAAGGATCCTCAAGTACGAGGAACAAATCAACGTGCTGACGGAAAAGAACGCGGGGTTGTTATCCGACATCGTTGATTACACGAAAGAGTTGGAAACGTTGAAAGAGAGCAAATCGCTTGTGTACGAACACGATTGCATGTACAAAGACAAACTGACTCATCTCACGGATAAACACGAATATCTGACGAAGGAAAACAACGAGCTCTCCACCACCTTGATGGACAAGATCGAGGAGAGCGACAGGTTGAAGCAGGAGTGCGACATTTTGAGCAGTAAGTTAGAACTGTCGCTGCGAAACAACGAAGACATCGGTGATGTCAACGATATCGAGCAACTGCGAGCGGAGAATACGTTACTGAAGACCGAAATGATGGAGTTGAAAGCTAACGTGAAAGATCTAACCGATGAGAACTCAAAGTTGTCCAATCAGTTAATGGAAACTATAGAAGAATTGGAGGTGCAAGCGGGCAATTCCTGCAATAATACGTTGCGCTTGTCAATGTTGTACAATTCCGCGAGCGATACGTTAGACAATAGCGTGAACGACAACGCTGAAGCAACGATCCTGAAGTTGCAGGACCAAGTCAACCATCTCACGTATCTCAATAACAAACTAAGCGAGTTGAAATTAAGTCCTTGCATTCAGTGTTCTCACTTAAAAGAGTCGAACGAAAACCGACGATTGCTTAAGCTGCAAGTGAAGACTCTGAACCACAAGTTGGAGGACTCGCAGAGACGTTTCGACAGCATTGCGGCAAAAAGCGACGCGCTCATTTTGAAAGCCCGAGAAGACACGTTGAACGCAAGCGCGTGCAACACGTCTGCCGACACTAGTTTCTCCGAGAGCATGAACGTCACATTCGTCGAGGAAGGACTTCAGTCGTTGAACAACGAATTGCAAATTTTAAAGGAGGACAGCGACAAACTGATGAATGCGCGCGACGAAGATAAGCGCGATGAGGAGAAGCGCGATGAGGAGAAGCGCGACGAAGTCGAGAACATACAAGATAGTACTGTTACGAATTCGAGCAACGATTCAAGTGTCAGTGTTAAAAAGTCCTCGAGAACTTCGAGATTGGAAAGGATCATGGAAGTTATGAGCGTCTTGCAGAGCGACTTCAACGAATTGAAGGAAAATAATGTAAACGTTAAAGAAAATCTCGCGAAATTTATTGCCGAGAAGGAATCCTTACTGGACGAAATCAATATTTTGAGAGCCGCCAACGAACAGCTCCTGCAACAGTTGTCGGAGAGCAAGTTGTCGCACAAGACCGCGTTGGAAAAAGCAATCATCCTCGAGAGCGAGATAACAGACGTGACCGACAAGTTGGAAGAGATTACCGCGAGATGTAAACAGATTGAGGACGCGAAACTCCTTCTCGATATCGAGGCCGGAAGTCTGAAAGAAGACAAGATAATGAAGGAGCAAACGATAAATGAATTGCGTCAGAGTGTCTCTTGTCTTCAACACGAGGTGGAATTAATGAAGAGTCAAAAGGAAGAGCTCGACGTCGATAACAACAATTTGAAACAAGAATATGAGGAAACACTGAAGTCGCTTAGATCAGCGAATGAAGAATTAACCAATTCCAAAGCAATTATCTCGCAGAAACTGGCCGATTCTAAAATTGCGGAAGACAGAGTGACGGAACTCAATGAGAAGGTGAACAAAATCTCTTCCGAAAACGATTATTTGAAGGAGGAGTTGATCAAGCTGCGCAATATAGAGGAGAAATTTGAGAAGATCAAAACCGAGTATCAGTCGAAACATCAACAGGATCAGACCTTGATCGAGGACAACAAGAAGCTCAAGAACTTGCTGAACAACGCCTCGAAAAACATCATCAAGGAGATAATTTCTCTCAAACCCAAGGCCGACACGCAGGAACTCGCGAACAAATCGGCGGACGATCTGTTCCAAGTGTTCGTGCAAACGATCTTGGCGAAGGAGACGGAAATTGTGAAGACGATGCAGGAGAATTTCGACAAGACGAAGCGAAAGCTCGAGGATGAGAAACGGCAGAGCGTGGACGCGGAAAAACGTACGGCCTCGTGGGCGAAGGAACTGGAAGGCGAGATAGAGAAACTTCAGGCGGATTTGTCCGAGCGCGAAACCGCGACTCGCAAATTGCAGGAAGAAGTCGCGCGTTTGGAACAACTTCTGAAGGAGAGCGATTGCGACAGGTTCGCAATGAAGGAAAAGATCGGCGGACTGGAGACGGATCTCGGCAATCTGCAGACTGAACTTGACAAATATTCCAAAAACGACACGGTGAACGGCGAGGCTGTTATTATCGCGCAAAAGCGCGAGAAACAAGCTCAGGAGGTGATCAAGAACAAGGAAGCCGAGTTTCAGGCAAAATTAAATTCGGAGAGAGAGGTGTACAACAAGAGAATAGAAGATCTCGCGTGTACGATAGAGTCGTTCAAAACGAAGACCATCGAACTGACAGGCAACGTCGAATGCCTCGAAGCTAATCAGAAACAATTGAAGAACATCATCGAGCTCAAGAGCAACGAGATAATGAAGAGCAATCAGATCATTCAGACGAAGCAGACCGAGCTGGAACAGCTCGCCGAAGCTTACGCCGATCTAAATCGCGAACTGGAAGAGAAGAATCAGCGTATCGCGGAGATCACGGAACGATCCAAGTTCATGTGCGACGAGCTAACGGAGTGCAGAGCCAGTCTTGATGTGATCGTGCCCGAGAACGAGTTTTTGAAGCAACAAATCAACGAACGAAAGGTCGCCATAGAGCAGTACAAAAAGGAGATGGAGAAGCTGAAAATGGAAGACAAGAAGGAGATCGACGCGATCAGAGATAAGTTGAACTTTGAAGAGTTGAAGAACGCCGAGCTGAACAAGCAAATAGCCGACTTAAATAACAATAACGTCGCTCTGACGGATTCGATAAATAACTTGATAAACGAATACGCGATGTTGGAGCGTAAATGCTGCGCTTTGGAGAAGAGAGTCAGAAACAGTACGAGCAAGATACTGGCCGAAGAACAGATGGAAGAACTGAAGGACTTGAACAGATCTCTGCGTAACAATTTGGACGGCGCGAGCAATCGGATCACGGAACTGCAAGCCGCCAAAACTGACCTGATGAAGCAATTGGTCGTTTTGAACAGTCAATACGACACGGCGTGCAAAGAGAATCAAACGTTGAAGGAGACGTTGTCGTCGTACAGATGCAAATACGACACGAACGACGACAAGTATGACGCGCTGCTGCAAGAGAAGAACAAAGTGGCTCTGGAATTGGAAGCCACAAAGGTTCGACTGGCTCAAGCGAGCAAGGATATCGAAATTTATACCGAGAAGATCAAAGAATTGGAGGAGAAAGTTTTGGAACTCGACAAAGAAGCGGAAGACTTGGCCAATGTTATTCGCGAGCATGACGCTGAGAACGCGAGGCTTCAGGATCAGTATTACACGTGTCGCGACGAAATTGATAAATTGCAGAACAAGATAAAAAGTCTCGAGAAGGAGGATCGTGACGAAGAAGATTCGCAATCGCCGTCGAAAACAAACGAGTCGTCAGATAGAGTCCAGAGGTCGTCGTATTATGACGAATGTTGTCGCTGCAAGATATTGCAAAATACGATACGTAAACTCGAACTGGAGCTTGTATCGAAGAACGGCAAGATCACGACGTTGGAGCTGCAAATACGAAGCGGAAGCTTTCCTTATCAGAAGAAGTGCAAGGAATTGCAGGAGCATCTTCTGGCGTACAAAAACAAGGTAACTTAAATATTTTAATCAATCACACGATTGTCACTTCGATTCGACGAATAAATCAATTTTATTATTTTTTTTTTTTTTTACGATCTATACTCCTTTGCAGAATAGCGAACTGTCGGCAGAAATTAAACGACTTCAGATAGCGATGCTGCGTACGAGCGCGAGAGAGTGTGACGTGTGCAAACAACGACTCGTGAACAGAAGGCATCAGTCGTGTCAGACGGTAACGCCGATACGATTTTGTGGCACGAGCAGTGGTATAATTGATGTGAGTACATTTTTGAGCAAAGAGAATATAAGAAAATTGAAGAGTTAACGAATCTGTTGAAATTTTTCTCAAGTTTTTTTTCTTTCTGTTTCTTTTGTGTGTTTTTTCATAAAAACAAATCTGTTGTCACGCAGGACGAAGTGAGAATACTGAAGTTGGAAAAAGAGAAACAAATGATGAAAGATGTGTGTCGTTCTCGGGCCAAGGTAATAAAGGAGCTCGAGCAAAGGATAAAGGTGTACGAGAATGAACTGGGTCTCGGAAACGCATAAAATTTGTTTGTCGCGATGGATCATTTCTTCCGCGTTGCCATATCGGTTCGGAACATGTATAATCCGACTCTTTGGTATTAAGCGCACAATCAGCCCAGGTGCACAGATATGTGCGAACAGTGGCGTAATATACACACAGGATGTAAATATTATAAATATTTTTAACGTTACATATTTTAAGCAATGTAGTGTTTTATATTTTTGTAATACAAATGAATTCTCAGCTATATGTTTTTTACACATCGACGTCGAAAATGCCGGCAATATATTTTCTTAACAACTTTACACGTACAGACTGTTGTCTTTTTGTCACACAATGCATACGATGTAAAATAATGTTGTTGCATTTGTGTGGTATTGAAATTTCTTCTACTGACGTACGCACAAATGAACAATTGTATGTATAAAATATATAGTTAATCAATTATCTCGTTGGTGTTTACTGTTTGGTAAACCAAATGGATTTTAATTGATTATTCGCAAATTATTGAAAGATTAATAATACAAATTTATACATACATATATATATATATGTAAACATAATATATACATGTATATATAAATGTTAGATTTAGGAAAACTTTCATTAAAAAAAAAACAAAAATACAACTACCTGCTGTACTTGCAATTATATTATTGATTAAATTATTAAGATTAGGCACGTTTCATCTTTTTTTGTTTATATTTCGTTGTGTAGTTTTGTGGCCTCTTCCTACTGACGTTTAGTTGGAACAAGTCTGAAATGTAGAAAGATCGCGTTACGTCGTGGTGATTGACAAACAGCCAAAAAACACGCGTACACACACGGAATATTTACCTTTATCAGGTTCTTCTCCCACTTCCTCTCGATAATATTGAGCATCATCGTCCTCGTCCGCTTCGTTATTTTCAGTTTCCGATTCCTTAGCGAATTTTCGCAAGAGCACGTCGCTCTCTTTTTTCTTCAGAATTCCCTTGAGCGACTTCTCCTTGTGTTGCTGTCTCATTTCTTCCTTTCTCGTTCTGTTTGCTTCTTGTATCTTCCGCCTTTTCTCTTTCAATCTTCTCCTTTCTTCCCTTCTCTTCCTTATAATCAGTATCTCTTCTTCTGTTTTCTGTACAAGCTCGTGGAAAAGCACTTCACCCTGAAGAAGCTCGCTTTCTACTTTTATCAACTGGAATAACCAGACAGGTTATTAAATAAAAGATACGCTGGAATATGTAAGTGTGTGTACACATTTTTTTTCTATAATATAATTCATCAATTAAAAACTTTCCAACCTGCAAAGTCAATCTCGGTCCCAATTCGTACAGTCTAATCGCGCTTTTCGAATTAACGTGATTTCCTCTCGACGACAAGTTTTGCGACAATGTGACGTGACTGGTTTCGTCGTCTTCCGCTTCGCTTTCTGACACGGTCGGTTTGGACAGAAACTCGGAAAAATCCTCGCACTTGGACAAATTGGGCACTTTCGCTTGCACCAATTTCTTGATTCCTTTCGACAAACCCACGGGCACAACCTTGATCGCGTAATGTCTGAAGTCAACGGTTTTCGATTCCGTGTTGTAATTCAAACACACACAACGACGAATTGTGCTCAAGTTGACCTGTAACGTGAATCTCGTGTGAATTGTATTTTCACGCTGAATATTCAAGCGGCAGTTCAGAAACTTACGGTGGTTAAATTTATTGTTGGAAATAGATTCTGAAACATTGAAGACATGAGCTTCAACTGCATTCCCTCTCCGCTGAAGTTGTTCAAAACCACCAGTGGAGAATTCTTGAAGGCTTCGTGATAGACCAATTGCTTCTTCAACATAGATATCACATCTCTCGCCAAACAGAAGTTATTTATCTTGAACGTAAGGGTAGGTCCTTTGGGCAATCTGCCATCATGGAGAATGTCAGAGAGAATGTTACATCAGTTATTACACACACATGTACAGTTAACAGATTTCATAGGATAGATAGATATACCTGCAAAGTTTGAGGTACATTCCCAATTCGGTTTTTGTAAATATAGACATGTGCGTGACGTGAAGCACGCTCGCGACCGAAACGAAATCCTTGATGGTATTTTTCTTACGGGCCTTCAGAGACGAGGCTGTAAACGGTTCCATGACTTTTCGAAAATCCTTTGTGAGCTCAAGAATGTGATCTCCCGATAATCCACGATTGAACACGAACGAATGAGACGCTCGAACAAGCTCTTCCTTTTCCACCGCGTTTAACTGCTTGTTTCGCCTCGTGCACCGACCCTACGCATAATTTTTATGTAAAACAAAACATTAGTATATTACATTCTTTTAATTGTAGCACACTAATTTAATTGCGCACGCAAGCACTAATTACAGTTTTTTTAATTGTTTATATCGATCGATATAACATTACCTTTCTTTTACGAGCCATTTTTTCTTCCCTAAACAAGGTTAAAACTTAGAAACTCGCCGCGTCCACGTGCGTACGTACACACAGCGTCAAAACCACGAAGTAAGAGCAGAGAGAAGGTTTCCTCTCAAGGTTTTACCGCTCAAGTGTGAGCGTACTTCGTCTCTTTTTCGACAGAGGGCACCGCACGCGACTTCTCACAGCTCGCGTGTAGTTTGCAACTTGACCCGACAGATGGCGCTAACAGCGCGATATGCGCGCGCGACGGATGACGACGCGTATTCGCAACTGGTCGCAATCGGAGGCGACGAACGAACACACATCTCTCTCTCTCTCTCTTTCTCGAGGTGATTTTTTTTAATTAATTGCGCGACGTTGCGCGAAACGAAGACGCCGTGTCTGGTCAGTAGCCGCCGGCTTTTCTTCTTATTCGCCTAGCGAATTAACACGATGACACGACGGATGCAAATAACAGCCGCGAGACGGCGCGCCGGACGGGGCTGCGGAACAAACACGACGACGGGCGCGAAAAGGTAACGTTTGCCATATGCCGGGCTTAGAGCAGAAACCGGCTGTGATTTTTGCACAAGGAACACTTGGCGCGCGTTTATATGTGCTTTTCTTGCGGCACATAGATAACCGCCGCTCGCGGACACGAAGATTCGCATTGCTTGCATTCAATCGGGAGAATTGAACGAGAAAATGAACGTCGCGCGCTACATATATCCATTACGCAAAAAAAGGTTCTTGAATCAAATTTCACTTTTTTCTCTCTCTCTCTATAGCAACTACCTATCAATATTTATATTTGCATAAACAGATAAAACATAGTCTAATGGAAAAAAACGAAAGAGAAATTTTTATGTCAAATACGCATAAGTTTATCGATAACTTGCTTTACGTTGCTTTAGAGAGCGTCTATATGTGTACGTTGATGTAACTCTGATTTGCAGATTGGTAAAAAAAAATATATGTATATATATATCAGGTAATATAAGCTGCTTTTGGCTCGCAGAGATTAGTCAATATCTCGGATATAAGATAAAATTCGATTTATCGATGTCGATTTATTTTTTCACGTAAAATTGTTTTTTTCTCGCCAGTCGCGCATCATCAGTTCGAAGATATTCTCTATATATATATATATACACACATATAATGTTTAAATACATATATATATACATGTATACGAAGTCCGCAGAATGCGGCGCACCGCGTGGAACGTTTCTCGGACCACGGACGCGAGAGGTCTCCGCGTTTTTTTTTTTTTTCTCTTTCTTTTGCCCGCGCGCTTCGTTGCGACCGCACCGAAGCGGTACACCGGCAAGTGCGTGCGCGGCTACGCATTGAGACGCACTGCGAGACTCAGCGAGACCGGTAAAAAAAACGCAACCTTCGCTGCTTTGAAGCGAGACAAGGAACACGCCACGGTGACGAGTCGTGGCGCGCACCGTTGCACCTGCACCTCCTCGTTACCCTGGCACTCCTACCTTACTGATCTCGACTGCGGGATGCCGAGAATGCCCGCGAGCGTGTAACATTACGAGAGATCTCTCTCATCACCGCTGTCCCTTTAATTTTTCCTCGCGTTCGTTTTTTAAAATTTTTCGCAAAAATAAAAAATCACAACGCGGCAGTGTCTTTGGGTTTTTTTTTTTTTTTTTTTTTTTTTTTCCAATTTTTTCTTTTTTTTCTTTTCCTCCTTGTTTTACCTCTTCAGATCTCTCTCATCACCGCTGTCCCTTTAATTTTTCCTCGCGTTCGTTTTTTAAAATTTTTCGCAAAAATAAAAAATCACAACGCGGCAGTGTCTTTGGGTTTTTTTTTTTTTTTTTTTTTTTATTGCCAATTTTATTTGTCACGACTTTATGTACATGTTTTACATATTGGAACGCGAGTGTAGTCGTTGTATTCGAGTGAAGCTATAAAACGAACATAATATATAAATATGTATATGTGTAATATATTAAATATATATATATATATATATGTATATATATATAATGTATATATATATATGTTTATTTATAACGAACGTAAGAATATATATTAAGATATAAGAATATATTATGACAGACTCGCAGTGAGGTATAAAATCGTATCTATAAAACTTGAAAACAAAACAAATTAATCTTTTTTTGAAAGTTAAAATAAAAATCAGTAACTTCTTATTTTTGGTCGTGAAATATCACAAACAACGTTTTACGTGGAAACGTAAAACAACTCGAATAAATAAAAAAGAAAACATAATTCACTCTTATAAAATTAAATCTTTATCTCTGTAATTGGTCTGTCTTCCTAAACAATCAACAGCCAGAATCAGATAAGCGTCGGTTTGAAAAAAAAAAAACATCAAAATTTATTTGTCTTCGTAACATTACACTGTCAAAAGCGTCGCTGGCGTATAAAATCCCAAACTCGCTTTCAATTATTCTCTCTCTTGTGACAGGCACGCATTTTGTTAGCAAAAAATTACACAAAAGAAAAGAAAAAATTCTCAAAATAAACAAAAAAACATAAGTAAATGCAAGAGAATATCAAAACTGAAAGACAAATTTATTTAACGAGACACTCTTGTAAGAAGAGAGCGAGTTTGTGTTTCTGGAGCCGTTTGTGTCAAAACTATAAAAAAAAAAAATAAATAAACAAAGTAAAGATCGCACTTATTAACGATCGACGCAAGTTCTCTCTCTTATAACGAACAATCGCTTCGTTCCCGCGATTTGTTTCTCAACGAGGGTGATTCGTTGACATCATCATCGCTGTCGCTGTCGCTCAACCTCAAGCATTGCACTTTTAGTTTCGCGCACGCCTGATCCGCCAATTCGTTCGACTCGTCGAAACAATTGGCGGTCTTCGCGCCGCAAACAATTTTTTGAGGCTCGCGATTCTGAGAAACAGCGGAATGAGTTCGACTGCGTTTGAACGTACTTCGACTTTCGTCGAAACTCGCACGCGAATCGTTAATCGGCGGTTGTGACTGATTGACTTCGTCATCGGTGTCGCTGTCGCTCAATCTCGAGCATCGCGCTTTTGGTTTCGCCCGATTCACAGATTCGCCCGGCTCGTAGAAATAATTGATGGTCTTCACGCCGAACATGTCGCAAACGATTTCTCTGGGCTTGGGATTCTCGGAGACGACGGGATGAGGAGTTAGCTTGCGTTTGACCGTACCTCGATTTCCGTCGGTTCTTCTCGGACGTGAGACGACGCGACGGCGACGCGACGACGTGAGAACAGGTGACACCGTGATTCTCTTCTTTCTGTAGGACTTCATGTCGTGCAACGGCAAACGTGTCCGTTCAGACGAATCGCTGTCGTCGCTGTTCTCCGCGTCGACATTCCGTTTGTTTTTAATGAAACACTCGGTTGTTTCCCATTGGAACGTCGTCGACGCGTCCGATTCGTACGAATCGTCCGTCGCGTCGACGGTCAACCCCACCTGCAGCGCGTAACAATCGTCAGAAGTTTCGCGATTTTGCTCGGTAATCACCACGTGCGACTTCCGTCTGATCTTGGGTTGTTTTTCGTCGTCCGACATCGACACGAGTTCTAAGCTATTTTCTGTCACATTGTTTTCATTAGACATATCCTGCTGTAAAACAAAATTGTTTGTATTTTTATCCTTTGACATTTGGAGTTTTTTTGTCTTTTATATCTCGCATATATACACGCGTGTGGCTATAGAAAACTTATTCTAGTACTTGCTTTTTTTATATTTTTATTTTTTATTTTTTTTATATTTTTACAGATAAACGAACCGGACCAGTGGCCGGACATTCGAGAAATAATTACAGCAAAGTACACGCGTCAAAAACCAATAATTAAAAACACATTTCAAGAAACGCTCGTACCACAGAAAATTGTTTTTTTTTACGATTAATATTTACATAACCAATAATTATTTCTTTAAATGTCCAGAGCCATTGGAGTATCGCTCGTTGCGACAGTCAACTATTACAAATTTTTATACACACATGTATTGTATACGTAAACACTTATATTGTTTATTTATGTTTCAGCTCTCTCTCTCTCTTTGATTGACTCACCGTGTTTACACAAATAGTCGGGACGTTAACGTGTCGCGAGACGGGTCTGTACCAGGTATTGCACCCGCTGCGTACGTTGTGGAAGTACAATCTCTTGGGATAACGTCTGGATCGGCACTGAATCCATCCGTGGCTCAAAGTGAATTTGCCGAATTCGCGTTGAACAATACGCGGTTCCGATGTCATCGTTGACGAGGCGCGATCTCTCATTTTGCGCAACTAATAACAAATCGACTCGATCGACCAATGCGCGACGTTTCGCCGAAACATATAAGTATATACGCAAATATATCGCGAGTGGCGGCATATTTGAACGCTCACAATCGGCGGCACTGTGCGAAACAAAACACCGTCTCCGGGAAAAAAGTCCTAGAATCGAAACCGAACAAAATCGCGACGCAGGCGCGATCTGCAACAATAGAGTTCAATTTTGGACGAGGTTAGGTCAGGTTAGGTTCGAAGTGCACGCGCGGATGGATATTTGCGCGAGTGATTAACACGGTTTATTCGACTTCTCAAAGAACTCGAAGAATCCTTTGAAGAGAAATCCTGAACACGTTCCTGTCGAAGGAAGCGCCAACCTTTGGACTTATCGGGAGATCATCGCTGAAATAACCAACGACGCGCGTACAAAACATGAAGGGAGGAAACATTTCCGCGATGGACTTTAACAACACATTTAAGGTAAGATGACGCTTTTAACATGAGATTGTTATTATTTTCGAAGAAAAACTAACGATTTTAGAAAATTAAGACAACGCGTATAATTTTCGTCGGCGTATATTTATGTGAATGTTACATTTGTTTTGGACAAACGAGAGAACTCTTCGAATTTTTTAAATCACGTGACTTTGTCACAATAAACAGGTCAGGAGATCTCTCTCTCTCTGACCGAGACGATGAGTTTTTTTTTCTCTCTTTTTTTTGTCCGGAAGAAACATTAGGAGAATACGTAATGCAATATGACCAGCATGCATCGCGATGTGCTCACAGCTTATTATTCGCGGTCACGCGTGCACATTTGTATTATTTGCGACGTATAGAAGCGATTCCGCCGAGTTTGGTTTTGCTGCCTTATTATCTATGTTCCTTTTTTTTTTTTTTTTTTTTTGAATAAGTTTTTCTAAAATCCCGAGAATTCCGGTTTTAGAATATGCATCAGCTGCTGGCGCGGTCATTCGATACACGCCTTGCTTTTGTCGTTCTCATTGTTTACGTGCGTCATAATCTCGTTGCTAATCTGGTAACAATTTTTTTGTAGCTATTTTTTTTCTTCTCGTAAATTTTACACCTTTTCGTATAAATCTTTTCAAGACTTGAAAGAAATACTGATTCTTACAAATTTATATTTATATCTGCAATTATACTGTTTTTAAAACATTTTTTTTTATTAGCGAGTAAATTGTCTGTTTGTTTTTTAACAAACAGACAATTTCAAAGTAATAACACACTTTGAATAACTTTTTTTTATCGCTCGGCATTAAGTTGTTTTTCTCTAATGGACGTGAAACCGCTAAATATTCAATATTTTTGGCGTTTATTGACGTAACAAACACTCCGTGCGCGCGCGCGCGCACACACACACACACACGGAGAATGTTTTGTACTTTCACTAAAAATAATCTTATTTAAACCGATGAACGAGAGAAACCGTTACATTTTTACGAGCGTGCCGAAGCGACTTTGTTCATCTCGCCGCTTCGTTATTAAAGTTCTTTATATTGCCGCGAATAAACTCCTTATCCTCCATATTTTGCGTTAAAAATTCAGACTACTTCTCTTGTTTTTTTTTTTTTGTTTTTTTTTTTTTTGTTCGATTTTCACTGCGTTCGGATCAGATCGCAAGATGATGCGAGCGATGAAGAGAATGGCGGACGGACGTGAATTCGAACAGGATCTAAGATAGCTCACGTGTATATAAATAATATGCAAGACTGCCGCACGGGAAAATAAAAACGAGACGGGGCACTCGGATCTAACGTGGAGCGTCTTGTAATTCGAGAATTTCACGGACCTTTGATCGCAGGACGGGGGAGAGTCCTTTATTCACGGATTCGTTCATGGTCACGTGCAAACGTGGACGTGCGGATATGAAGTTTCCTCATTCTTCTCGGCTCTTTCGGGCCGAACGATCGAGTTCTTTCGGTTTCCGCCGAGTGAAACCACAAGAACGGCATCTTGAATGTCTAAAAATAGAGACGCAATAAGCACATCGGTCACGTGATATATATATTTTCGAGCACTTCGCATTGTGACCCTTTTTAAAATTTTTTTTTTTTTTTATGTAAAGTAGTATCACCAGTCGCCAGAGAAGTGTCTCTCATTGTGTGGAATTAATTTTTCTCAAGTGACAGTTACGGAAAATCAAATCCATCAGAAGACCCCGGACAATAAAAGACACTTCGTCATCGTCGTATAATAGTCGACAAGCTCGCAGAAGTTCTTCCATGTCTCAAGAGCGATGATGGTTCGCCGAACGTTCACGCTTGAGCTGCCTCTTCGTCGCCGCTATCGTCGCTACGTCGTCGTCGTCGTCGTCGTCCTGCGTTCGCGGAATCCGTCGTGAGGAAATGTAAAAGGAAATGTAAAAAAAAACCGGTCGGGAAGGAGAAGGGGAGAGTTTATAGTTTAAAAGGACCCTGCGCAACACACATACACATGCGCGCGGTCGAGCGGATTCGCGACGACGGAAGAGGCGGAGGGGGAGGAAGGTAGAAAAAAACGTAGCGCGAAGAAGCGGCAAAGAGGAGGAGAAAGATGATGAGAGGACTATCGAAGTGAGGTTTGCTGCCGAGGTGGTGACGACGACGACGACGACGACGGTGGTGGTGATGTGGTGGTGGTGGTGGTGGTTTGGACCGTTAGTTGGCCCCAGCGCCAGCGGGAGCGTTGTCCGGGCATTGCGCGTTACTATTCCCTCTGTCCTCTCTTCCTTGCCTCCATTCCTCCTCCTCCTCCTCCGCCTCTCTTTTCTCTTACACGATGCGCTCTTCCTCTCCCCCTTTTCCTCTTTCTCGTTCCTTCTCCGTTTCTCTCGTTCTTTCTTGCGTACTGTCGGTCAAGCTCTCACCCGCGTTCATTCTACCACAGCTTCTCCGACCCTTCCGTGCCGCGCACTGGTTAACCAATATGGCCGGTCCCGGTCCGGTCTACCTTTCTTCGCCGCGAACGTGCGACGAAAAGAGAAAAAAAAAAAAATTCCAGGAAGGGAGGAATTCGCGCGCGTTTCGCGTTCCTGAACACGCGGACTTATCGCCTATATATTTTAATTTTATGCACGATAAAAATTTTGATCGAGAAAAACATCTCTCGGGGAAGGCATTATCCGTCGTGTCTAATGTCTCACCGGTTCGGTAACTTTCGTCACAGCAGCGCTCAATAATATCCTCAAGCTTCCTCCTTTATAAGACGTTTATTTATCGACGAAATGAGTATATCTCACTCGAGATAAAAGCAATATTTTGACATTATCAGCTGTATATTTTGCGACGGAAATATTTATAAGTAAATACATTTGACTGTCTTTTAATTATTCGATTATACAGAAAGGTGCAAAGAGATAATTGTTGACATGTCACTTGAAAAAATAACTGCACGTACGAAAATTATCAAATTCGAAAAAATACCGCGGGAAATCGCATCATTGTGCAAATTATCTTTCGCACGTTTTCAAGTTTTCGATCTTGAAAATTATGATTAAATTATTATTTTCAACATCGATTCCGCGCAACATTCGCGACGATACTCGCGAGAAGAAGATACGCGCGAATCATCACATTGATCGCGTCACGTGACATATCTCCGCGCACACTGACGAACATAGGAGTTTACACCCCAAACGACGTTTAACAGCTGTTGCAATTGCGAATCGAATGCTCGTTTCGGAGACTGTCAACGAAACGACATTGTTAAACGAACTGAGTCCCGACTTGATCGCTGGGCCAGTGGGTCCCCTCGTCTGCTTCTCCGCGTGGAGGATAACAGTTCACGGGTGTACCGTTCGCGCTAACGTTATCCGCGGCTGTTGTTTTAACATCTCCAACTTCGTCATGATAATCGAAAGTAAGAAGAAAGTGAGAACACGCGGGGAGAGAGAGAGAGAGAGAGAGAGAGAGAGAGAGAAACGCGGGTGTGACACGAGAGAAAACAATCGGAAAGTTTAATCGGTTCCTTACGTGTCGCTCCAATTGTTTCGAGCGAATAATTTATCAGGAATATTCATTGTTACATATATATATATATATGTATATATAGCGCGCGAAGTTTTTTTTTTGTAAAGTTAGGATCACTCACGCGTAAAAATCACTTCACAGTACAATCGGAAAACTGCGTGACGATTATGACAATTGTTATGATTTATGCAAGAGATAACGGCACGAGAAGAAACTACGCGCCGTACTACACGTTACTACTAATGGATACGTTAGACCGACAAGATAACGATCTCAGAAAACGCGGAATGATATCTTCGTCGCAAGTTCTCTGTTCGTTCGTTGAACCATGCGACGTGACCTTGTTAAAGAAACGGCTAACGGGGACAGAGCGAGAATGCCTTAGATGTCGCGATAGCGATCCGATTCTTCAGCATGTGTATAACGCGCGGCGCGCCCTTAGCGCAAACGACTGGATTTCGATCGCTCTCTCTCTCGTGGAATAAAGAGATCGCAAAAAAAAAAAAAAAAAAAAGCAACAGATGTTTATCTCGATTCCTCGAGAGACGTGTTCTCGACACATCTCCTCGTGTTCTTTTCCGCGCGCAAGAATTATCCTTTCAAGTGAACAGCGCGAATTGATCCAATCTTCTTCGGGGTCGTCCCGATTTTTCGTTGCAATACAAATTTTTTCGCAATAACGGAACAGAATGTCAACAATTTATCCAACTCTTTAATTAACTGGATCACTCGAGACTCGATGAGTGTTAAGTTACCAAATATATTTGCGTAATAATAAATAAAATAAATATGTATTTAGAAAATGGGAAAAATTTTCGTGCGTACACGAAACGATTATTCAACACACAGAAAAAAAAGTCTGCTGGAATGGCAAAAAGATTAAGTCGGTCGGATTATAATGGCCGGCAATAAACTTCGCCAAGTTTATCTTGAGTTTTTTGCCAATGCAGATGTTTTGTTAGCAAAACAAACAATTACACGGTGGTTCGGTAAATAATTTTTTTCGCCGGTCATATAATGGCCGGTCATATAAGACTGTTTTTTTTTTTTTTTTTTAGCGTAGAGTCAAAGGTGACCTAATAGACCAAAAGGTACGTCCTTCGAGGGTTAAATCCGCGCGACACTTTCCGTTACGTCGTTACACACACACACACACACACATACACGCACACTTTCCTTTCTCGTGAAACCGATGTATCGGTTTCTCATTCGGTCTGTCCTTCGCTCTGCGGGTTGTTACACGTTTCGCGTCTCCGTATAGATCCAAATACGTAGCTTGACGACCTCATAA